AAACAAGATACAGGAGGGAACGAGAGGGAGACGGAGAGGAAGAATCATCAGGAAAAGTGGAAAGAGCGTGAGTTTTGGAGTCAGACACATCTACAGTGGAATCTTGCTTACTGGATGGTCTTTACAAGTCACTTGAACTCTCTGACCCTCAGCTTCCTCATCTGCAAAATGAAATGGCAGCTATTCCCAAAGGTTTTCATAAGGAACACTGATGAATGGGGAAATGCATAATCGGGTGAGGGTCTCCACGTGCACGCACGTGGATCACTGCCCGTGCATTTAGTGTCACTGACTTTCCTCCTCTTTGGTAGCAGCAGTTTCTCTCCAACTCAGGGACCCTGTGCTGCCTCCTCTTTATCAGAACCAGTTCTCAGGACAGCTTTGACATGAACATTTGTGAACACTGTTATGATCATCCCCCCAGGGTGGCTGTAATATTCAGAACTCAGGGGAGACTAGGACATGCCCTTAAGGGCAGCAGAAGCACAGACGGTGGGGAGGGGTGGGGCTTGACTTCTCTAGAAAGCCCCGCTCTCCTGCTCCACAACTAACCCTCCTAGTCCCTTCTTTTATTTTTTTTATTTTATTTATGTTTGTTTGTTTTGTTTTGGGGGGGTAATTAGGTTTATTTATTTACTTATTTATTTTAATGGAGGTACTGGGGATTGAACCCTGGACCTCATGCATGCTAAGCACGCACTCCACCAATGAGCTATATACTCTCCCCGCTCTCCCAGTCCCTTCTATCTGGGTTCACAGGGTGACAAGTGTGGTCTCCAGAGTCAGACCGAGGTTTGAATTCTAGACCTGCTATTGACTATGTAATTAATTTGGCAAAAGAAATGTGTTTCCAAGGGTTAAAAACTATATAAGGATTTAATAAGATACTCTATATAAGGTAATTAATAAGGTGCCTAGCACTTAAAAACAACAGATTACGTTTGATATTATTATTGTTTCTACTTGCTTTGATTCCTTTCCTTCTGTGATCATAGATGGCATCCCATTTCTGTGCTTGCTGGGAGGAGGCAGGCTGGCTGGGCCAGCTCCCAAACTGCCGGTCTGAGGCAGGACATGCTATGGGCAGGAAGGAAGCTTAGCCTCAGTGCCGCCCGGAGCAAAGAGGGCCTTAGGAAACAGGCTGTGGTTCAGGCCTGGGAGGCAAAGGCAGACGATCAGGAGCCAGCAAGGTACAGGAACAGAGAGGAGGGGAGGAGCGAGGACCCGGGGAGGTGACAGACTCACTGCTGCTGAGGGTCCTCCCTCCCGCCTCCGCTGCCGGCCCCAGTGGGCTTGGGAGGGTCAGTGTGGGGTAAGGTTTGTTCAGACACCAGCCTCCGCCCGACCCCGCAGACTCACATTCTCCCTTTCTGCTCTGCTCAGACTTGACATCTCCTGATATCCATGTGGTTTCTGCCTCTGACCTGTCCCAGGCCTGTTTCCTCTCCGCACAAACCCTCCTTTTTCCGGGTCTGACCTCAGCCCATGCCCTCTTTCGTGAATCGTCCCATTTGGTACCTGTAGCTGGGAAGTCTGAGTACAGCTGTAACATCTTCATAATATGTTGACCAGAAGCAAATGAAAGAACTTGTCCCCGTGTAGGTGGACACAAGTGACCTGTAGTTTCCTGGAGGTTTTTTATTTTAGTTGGCATAATTCTGGGCAAGTGCTAGCGTCATCCAAACAAGCCGTGAAGTGTGAGTGCCCTGAAATACTCTGACAACGGTCCTAGGGGAGATGTGTGAGGGCTCGAAGTATTCTTGAAAGATCCTTTCTGGGTCTCAGAAACTTATTAAAACAGCTTTTCATTTAAGTCTGAATTTTAGGTTGCTTACTCTGAGTTTGGGTCCTTCAATCTTCAGAATGTAAACTACCTGGCACCTCAGTGCCCCCATCCAAGGCTCACCCAGCTACGTAAGCCTTTAAATAAGGAGAGAACATTCATGCTATGGAATTCTACACATACATCCAAAAAAAAAAAAAGGTGTGGCTTTGCGTTTTCACCAATTTACTGAGCATCCACTGCGCTTGGATATGGCCATGGACAAACCAGACAATCTTCAATCCTGTAGAGCTTTGGTTCTACTAGAGAATCTTGATGCTTCAAGAAAAATATTTTAAGTGGGGAGGGTATAGCTCAATGGTAGTGTGTGCCTGGCATGCATGAGGTCCTGGGTTCAATCCCTAGTACCTCCATTAAATTAAGTTAGTAAGTAAACCTAATGCCCCCCCCAAGAAAGATAGTTCATTTCTTAAATACATTTTCCAGAACGTCCCTGCGTTATTTCATTAAATAACACAAGGAACAATAAGCTGTTGATCATGTAGATGGTGTATAACTATGAGATGAAAGCTCTGTAATTTACAGGAAGAAGCTGTTCTAATGCCTGCACGTGTGGACCCCACCATCCTTGGAGCCTCCATGGCTCAAAAAAATACAGGTGGAATTTCAGCCCCATAAATAAACATTAACGGAAGGCCTCAGCAATTTTTGTCAGTTATGTGTTGCAAAAGCAAAATCAGTATGTCATTATTTGGGACTTGAAAGCCAAGATTTAATCGTCATACAAGGTGAACCCGCAGGGCCAGCTAACTAGGTGGCTCCCTGAACTCCATCCACATTGATTTTATTTTTTAGTTAAAGTATTTCTTCAAAGGCAAAAGGATTGTCATCAGACAGTATCTCATTACTTGGATCTCACGCTTGGATTTCTTTTTAGTCTTGCCCTGGCTTACCCTAATTTGAAGACCTACAACACTTTAAAAATCAACAGAAAGACAGCTATGATACCATAGGTACTTAACGTGGAAACTTTCCTATGATATGACAGTAAGGGAAAAATGTAAAAATAATGGTGCAGAATAAGATATTGAGCATGATGCGGATTTCTGTGGGAAAAGCTGTATCTAATGTACATGCACGCACACGTGTGTATACATATAGTAAAAGGTCTGGAATGATCCGCACCAAACTAACATTCTGGAGAAAGAGGTGGCAGATGGCAGGTAGATGCTAAACATTGAGTGGAATGCTCAACATTTACATTGTGTGCTTCTGTGATGCTAAATTTTTCCACAAAAAGCATGTAATATTCTGAAATTAAAAATCAAAGAAAAAAAGCTAGACGATGTGGTCCATGTAGACAAACTTCAGGAATTAAGAAATTACCATGGACATTGTGAGGAGCCGTTGCAGGGTTTAGGCAGGGAAAATAGATATGGTCAGATCTGCAGCGACGTGGAGGGTGGACTGGGAAAAAGCAAGAACATACTGGAGACGGGGCAACCAGTGAGGAGACCGTGGAAGGACTCGAGAAATGTGAAGGCTATGAACGCAGTGGATCTTGGGGCCTGTGAGCCAGGGGGAGATGGAGGAATACAGGCAGCTGGTGGCCATGCCTGATGGGGCCGGCTGGAGGAAGAGCAGTGTGCTGAGGTCAGGAAACCCAGGTCATGGGAGACACGGCGCTGGCCTTCGGGGAGATAGATAGGTTGTGTCTCATATGTGACTTTGTGCCGGGCATCTTCTCTTGGTCACTCAGCAGATGTAATTAGGAGTGCGTGAGGGATACGTTCTCAACAAATGGGAAAAAAATCTCCAATAAGACATGTAAAACACTCAGTCGGGACTTGAAAATGCTCTCCCTGCAGACCTGTGAGTGTGGGGGGGTGTCCATGCATCCACAGATTCTTTCCTCTGACCAAAAGGGGGACCCCCAGGGAAGCTGGAGCTCAGAATAGGCTGTGAGCCTCTTGTGGGGGTGCCCTGTGGGCCTCACTCCCATCCCCCCTAGTAGGTGCCCAAGCCAAGCTGATGACTGGCTAAGCTCCTGTCCTCTCTAAGGCCCCCCACCCCGCCACCCTTCCCTGGCTGCAGGAGAGGTGCTCCAGACCAGACACTTTGGATAATCTTTGCCTGGAGGCACCTCTGTCCCCCTCCCTGCAGTTCCTTCAGAGCTGTGGGGTTTTCTGGGCAAGGTACCCACCAACTAGGGAGAAGTTCACTGGTTCATCCCAAACACGTGCTAGCTACTGCCAGAACAACGCTAAAGGCTGGGGCAGAGCCGTGGGCCAGCCAAGCTGGGCTCTGTCCATCTGGAACTCAGAGACCTGTTCAGTCAGCACCAGAGCTCTTCCTGCCCCTGCTGGTGACATTATGGGCTTTTCTGTGCAGAGTGGTTGGTGGTGTCTGAGCATTGCTGGGCGCAGGCCAGGGGAAGGGGAGCTTCAGCTGAATCCACTCTAGGGGAGCCCCAGCCAAAGCTGAATTTGGACCTGTGAAAGCTTCTGCCTTGAAAAGAATATGGTACCCCTCAGCCCTAGTGTGCTACTTGAAAATAAAAACCCAAACAAACCTCGAAGTAAAGTAAGATTAACAAAATTCTGATCTTTCCCCACAATGATGACTTAATGACTTCTTTCCAAATGTTAATTTTTTGAGGAAGAATTTGATAATTATTTTGGGTCCCCAGGCTTGAAGGGCGCCCTTAGTATTGTCCAAAGTGCCTAGATTACCACGAGTGGTCCAGGGGTGTGGCCCAGGCTTCCTCTCGCCCTCCTTGTCCAAGGGGCTCTAAGCCAGGGTGCAAGTCTCCACAGCAGGAGAGGCCTCGAGGGTGACAATCCTCGGGGTCACGGGGTGGCTGCCGTTGGCGCCTGGACATCCAGAGCACGATGCACCCTCCAGGCTGGACACAAGATGGAGGTCTGGCCATCCCAGGAGAGTGCAGGTCAGAGCCTGGCTCCCGTGGAGAAGGAGTGGGCTGAGCTGGAAACCTTAGGGGTATGTGGCTCAGTGGGTCAGCCTGCACACAGCCCTACCTCCTGGGGTTGCCAGGACTCCAGGGATCCCCACCCTGGGGCCCGATGGCGCCACACCGGGCAGGTAGAGCCTCAGCAGCAGGTAAGGGTGTGGGGGTGGATAGTGTCACCGTGTCAGAGCCCTCTTGTTCCCTGAGCCCAGCTCTCCTCATTCAATACCTGTGGTCTTTGTTTTACAGAGCGATGAGGTCCTCACCGTCATCAAAGCCAAAGCTCAGTGGCCAGCCTGGCAGCCTCTCAACGTGTAAGTACAAACAGGGCTCTGCCCATCCCCTGTCCTAGCCTGGCACTTGGGGCCACTCACCCACTGGCCGCTGCCACATGCCAGTTATGTTCTGAAAGTCAGCAACACCTCCCAGGTGGATGAGCAGGTGAGGTGCACTGCCTGTGCGTGGCCTATCACGTGCCCCTACCTTCTCAGGAAGTGCAGGCTTGATCTCTGTGTCCTGCGTGGCTTTAACACCGCAGCTGACCCAGCTCAGACGTTGGAGGTGTTAAGAACACGCTTAACTATAAAGCTCTGAAAACCAGGGAGAGAATTCTCCACTGAGATATAAAATTGAGAGTCACCAAGGAATGGGAGGCAATCAATACCAAGGTCATGGATGAGAGAGAGCGTGAGAATGAGAGTCAAGGGCTTGGGACTGAGTCTTAGGGAGCTCCAGCATTTACGGCTGAGGAGGACCTGCCTGCAAAGAAGGCAAAAAAGGAGCAGCAGGGAGATTGGGAAGGAAGCTTGGCATCCGGGAAGCCCAGAAAAGAAAGTGTTCAAGAACAAGAGAGTGGTCAGCTGTGCCCAGTGCGGCTGAGAGGTTGCGGAAGATGAGAGCTGCAAAAGGTCCCTTGGATTTATCAACATGAAGATTCATCAGTGACGTTACTGGGACTCCTCTCTGCTGAGTCAGGGGGGGAGGGGTAAAAGCCTGGAGCAAGGTGAAATCTGAACAGAGTGTGGTTATGGAGTTGGTGAGTGAAGTGAACTGTTCTGTGAAGTTTGCTCTGAAAGAAGAGAGCCTGGGCAGTAGCTTCAAGGAGGTGAAAGAACCAATGGAGCTTTTTTTCTTCCAAGATGAGACTTTCTGAAAACTTGAAAAAAATACTTAAGGACACCCTCCCACCCTTCAGCCATCCCTTAGACTTCCTGAGACCCCAGTGGAACACAATGAATCGACGGAAAACACTCATATCTCCCAAACACCCAAACCCTCTCCACTCAGTGCTACCAGCTCGTTAAAGTAAAGGAATTTTCCTTTGGTTTTCCCATACCCTAGTCAACCCTTTCCTCTTCCAAATCTCATTAGGAAGTCAAATTAGGAAGCCTACTGGCAGCCAAGTTTTGTTTTGCAGAATCAGCCCCGCCCCTCGAGCCGGAGCCTGCTAGATTGAGGTTAATGGGATTCCAGCCTCCCTCAGGCCAGTGGAAAGCCAGGGTGACCTACTTTGTGAAGTCTTGCCCAGAGAAACTGACTTGTTTTTCAATGATCTTCATCTTTATCCCAGGACCACTTCTCAAAGGACAGCCATAAATGAACAAATTAGCTGCTGACTTGTTTAGCTCAATAAATCAAGCTGCAGCTCCGACAGCCCAGAGCACAGGTAGAGACAGGAAAAGACAGATTCTGAACAAAACCCACATCCTTCACGAGTTCCTGAGTAGAAAATGTCCAGGTTTCCTGCAAATCAATGCTGAATTTCCACCACCCAGTTCCTCCAGTTTAGTCTGAATGTTAGGAATTACTGGAACTTTAAAAGAATCATTTTTATTCCCTTATAATGAATCCTCTAAAAGACTGTACTCCCCTTAATTAGTCCCAGCCATTCTGTTTAATTAACATTTGATTAGACAATGGCCCCTGTTTTCAAGACAAACGAGGAGCAGGTAAAATAGAGACATGGTCACCCTTACCAGAAATCCTGCCTCTGGAGGATCTATGCCCCTGTAATCAGCCCAGCTACAGGGGGGTGGGGGTCAGGGCAGAGGCGTCTTTCAAATCAGGGCTGGAAGTTTCAGGGCCCTCCCTGCCTCCAGTAGCACCTGCCCAGGTCTGTCAATGTCCTCAAGGTTGTAAAGGAAGACTGACCTTGGACTAGAGGAGCAGGCAGTGGATCTCATCGGCCAGGTGGACTGGAAGCCCTAGATGCCTCCAGGTTATAAACAGTTTTCCTAGGCAGGAAACCTTACTGAAACCTTCCTCTTCCTGCACTGAACTTCAGCGTAGGGAATGGCTCCGGCGCCCCCTAGTGTCCACATTGGGTTTCTGCAACTTTGAATGCTCTAATGGGGATTACTTCAAACAGGTACATGGTGAGGGACCCAACTCAGCCTAAGAATGACCTGAGTTACCAGTGACCCGAGTCTCACTGATGTGGAGCTGTCATTTAGGATGGGATAGCGAGTCTCTAGAAGGACCATGGAAATCCTTTATTGCTTGTTTTCTTTCGCGGTGTTTATGGAAGTTTCGTTTAGAAAAGCTGAATGAGAAGGAAATCAATGTTCGCCTTCCTATCACGTGCCAGTCACAGTGATAAGCAGTTTCCCCACAGAAAGCCCTGAGGTGGATCTGAGGATGCTCCCACTTGCAGATTAGTAAATACAAAGGGAGGTGAGGTGGAGGGTTCCTCCAAGGCACTGCTGAACTCCCAAGGGGCCAAGAGCCAAGGGCTGGGGCATAAAGCAGCCCCGCGCATGCTGCCCACATGCCAGTGCTCCCTGGTGGGCAGTCACTGGAAGGCGGGCACCAGACCATGTCCTGTTAGTCCCATGGTGAGCAGTGCCGCAACTCCCCAGACTGCAGTTCTTATAGAAGCCAAGTGTTTAAAGACCCTGCTAAAAGCAATGTCTACATGCCAGAAAATGCACACATGAGAAAAGGAAGTGAAATCCCCCAATTTGTGCCTCACTAATTAGCAGACTATGTAAGTGGGACGTTAGTGGTTTATAAAGGCTTCCTAATAAATCATCTTATTTGAGCCTCACAGCAAACTGCAGGTGGCTAAGGTCAGATGAAGAAATGGAGACTAGAAGAGGGTGAGTGAGTTACCCAAGAGCTCATAAGTAGTGACGCACGAGTCGTCATATATCCACTTGTTCAGTTGGCCCACTGGACACCTGGGGTGTGGCTGTGAAATTTGGGTTCCTGCCCTCAAGGAGCTCCTAGTCTAGTGGGGGAGACCCAGCAGTGAGGAGGAGATTCCAAAGGGCAGAGCTCAGAGACCTACGCAGTGTATGGAAATACACACCAAGGGCACTGGCCTGTGTGGGGGCTCAGAAAGGCTCCAGGATGAGGTGGCCCATAACCTGAGGCTTGGAAGATGAGGAGTCCAATGATTCTCAAGCTTGAGGTGCATTATAATCACCTGGAGGGATTATTAAAACAAAATACTGGATTCTACCCCCAGAGTTGCTAATTAAGGAAATCTAGGGTAAGGCCCAATAACTTGAATTTCCGACAAGTTCCCAGGGGAGGCCAATACTGTTGGTGTGAGGACCACAGACCACCGACAAAGAGCTTTCTCAGCAGATGCAAGTGAACATGGGACCTGAAACCAGGCCAGCCTGGCAGGATACAGGGAGCCTCTGGGGCAGCAGGCAGGGTCGGACAGGGAGGCTGGAGAAGGAGCAACACTAGACCTTGCTGATCAGCTGATGCCAAAGCCAGGGCACAGGCCAGGCTCTTCCTCTCCTCAGATGCCAGAACCTAGACTGACATCAGGCTGAAATGTGAGGTGCACTCAGGAAGGCCTCCCTCACCTCCTCTCCCCTTTTTTCTGATCTTTGTATGAGCCTACAGTGCTGCTTCTCTCAGGAGCAGTAATAGTAATACCTGGTCAGGGGCCAGGCACTGGGCTTAGTACTGGATGTGAGCTCTCTCCTTAAACACAATACCCTTTTGGAGTGGACATGGGGATCCCCATTTTATAGATTTGGACACTGAGGCACAGAAAGATTTGGTCATTTGTCCAAGGATATGCAGCTCTAAGAGGCAGTGCAGGTTGGACACCCAGGCTCTCCCCTCCGCTCCCCGTCTCTGCTCATTATTTGAGCCCATCTGACCTGCACAGCCCAAGGGGCCCAGGCCCACAGGGCCCAGTTGGGCCCGGAGTCATCACTTTCTGGGACAGGTGAGGGCAGCCTGGAGCAGCTGGTCCCAACAGAGGAGCACAGGGACTCCCAAACAGCTGTCAGCTGGGCTGAACAGTCGAGTTGGTTCCCAGCAAAAGGCTCCCCCACGATCAGCAGCCTGAGCGGGTAGAGTCAGACAGGGCCACCTTCACACATCAGCCTCTACCAGCTGTGCCTCGAAGTTCATCAACCTCTAGACGCTCTCCTTTGTCCTCTGCAAGAGTAATAATTCTCACCCCACAGCAGTGTCATGGGGGAAAAATAACATAATGCAGGTGTGCCACCAAGTGTGTGCTGAGTGACTGTAATTCCCACCACGCCTCTGGGTGGGATCTCACACAGCCCTGGCCATGCCTAGGACCTCTTAGCCATACGAGGAGCTCAGGGTTGAAGAACTGCCTCCCACAGCTTGGAGGTGGTCAGCCAGAGGTCGCTGGCTCCATAGCTGGGTCCCTGCTTGCCTGCTGGAGGAAATGACAGGGGAACCAGCTAAGAGGCTGTGAGCTCTGTGCCCTGGCATTACCTTGCGCTGAGCAGCCTGTAGAGGGCAGTGGAGGCAGCAGGCAGGGGAGAGACCCCCTTCAACAACAGTGCAGTGGACCAATCAGAGCAAGAAAGGGGTCGGGGGGTGGTACTTAGAAACTGATCGTGAAAACCCTGACCCCAAACTAAGACTGACTGGGGTTGTGGTATCTGTTCTGCCACTTCACTTTGTGACTTTGAACACGTGACATGACAACCCTTCGGAGCCTCAGTTTCCTCATCCATAAATCAGACTCAGTAATCTTCACCCCAGGTCTGTCCTGAGGCATCTGTGAGAACATGAAAGGCTTGGGCATTGTTGCACAGCTTTTATTTGTTGAGTTCACCTCACAACCAACACAGCTGGGTGCACACATAGCCCAGTGTTGGTTCATTCATTTATTCGGAAACATTAGCTGAGCATCTCCACTGTGCCAGACCCTGTTGTGGGCACTGGAAATAGAGCCATGAAAGAGGCAGACAGAAACTCTGCTTCCCCAGAGCTTACACACTCCAGGGAGAGATGACAGTCAATAAACAGCTAAACAAATAAAGAAGAAAATACAAAATAACGCAGACACATTAAAACTGGCTAGGGTGGTGGCATATGGTTCTCTCTGCATGTAGCCAGAGGATGGGCTCGGAGAGAGAAACCAGTAGCAGCCAAAGGCAGAGATCGATGGGAGTCCAAGAATCCCCCTTCTTTCTTTCCCTCTCATCCTTTACCCATTGTCTGCCAGAGTGTGCACCCCAAGAGCTGACGGTAATGGTCTCTGTCTTCGGGTTCCAGAAGAGCAGCACCCTCGGCTGAGTTTTCAGTGGACAGGACACGCCATTTAATGTCCTTCCTGACCATGATGGGCCCCAGCCCCGACTGGAACGTGGGCCTATCTGCAGAAGATCTGTGCACCAAAGAGTGCGGCTGGGTCCAGAAGGTGGTGCAGGACCTGATTCCCTGGGATGCCGGCACCGACAGCGGGGTGACCTATGAGGTGCGTGTGCGCCTGGAGTGGTGAGTGACCAACCTCCCAAGTGCCTGCTCTTTGCCTGGCTATGTTCTGGGTGCCCTAGACACAGAGGAGAGTGTGGCCCAGGCTCTGCTGGACAAACTCAGTCTGGTAGGGGAGCCCAGCATGGTTCCATCACCACATCCTCACCTGCTGTGTGACTTGGGCTCCGGGAAGTGTCATGCAGCTGGTCAGGAGAGCCTGGGGAGGGAATCTGCAGATAAGCTGTTGGAGGTAAACAAAGGAACAGGGGGCCAAAGTCATGGAGGCAAAGAGAGAAGGGGGGAGAGAGAAGGGGGAACAGCAGGAAGTGGATGATCGTTAAGCTGAGTCAGATTCTCAAAGTTTCAGAACAGCCACGTTAAGGAGTTTGGATTCTCCTGTGAATGTCAGTATTTTTAGAGATGGTCAGCATGCCAACTGCATTGAAATCTGGAGCCATCAGAAAACCAGTGGTAGAACAGCCTAGAACAGACGTTGGTAAACTAAGCTCTGGACTCCACCTCCCACCCCCAACAGTAAATTAAGTTTTTGAGCCCAGCCTCACGCATTCAGTGACAAGTCTGGGGCTGCTTTCTCACTACAACAGCTGAGCTGAGTCGTTGTGACAGACACAGTATGGCCTAAAATATTTACCAGCTGACCCTCCGCAGACAAAAGTTTGCCAACTCCTGGTCTAGTACAAAGAACTCTGAATTCAGGCCAACCTAGTTCAGCTATTCCCTAGCTGGAAATGGCTCTCTGAAACTCGGCATCTTCATCTGGGCATAATCCTACTGTGTACATGGGAAATTGTGGAAGTATAGATCTACAAATTTCTATGCACAATGCATGGCATGAATTGAATTCTATAAACATAACTAGTAGTTATACTTGTTAAATTCCTATCCACGTTTTTGTTCTGATCGTGTATCAAATTGCTTTTGTAGTTTTTAACCAGTTTTATTTCCCACTTTCTGTATCTGTGTTTTCTTCACTGCAGTCACCCAACAAACCCACAATTCCCCAGGAGAAAATCCGGCCCCTGACTAGTCTAGACCATCCTCAGAGTCCTTTTTATGATCCAGAGGGCGGGTCCATCACTCAAGTAGCCAGAGTCGTCATCGAGAGAATCGCCCGGAAGGTACTGGGTTAGGGCTCACCCTGGCACAGACCCTTCCCACCAGGCGTGTGAGAGACTGGACCCTTTTCTGCGCTAAAATCATGGGGTCCCTGGCGTATTCTAGCATGTGGAATTCCTGGGCCTCTCAGAGTTTCTAGAATGCAAATTGTTTATAAGTTATAAATGAGAAAAGTGAACGTAGTGGTACAGTTTGACGCTCAATGGAATGATTGGATCCAGGTACCCAGGCTTCATCATGAATTTCATAATCAATTGTTAATGTCTGCCACGAGTCAGGAAGTGGGCAGCTGTGGCTTTCTTGCCATTTCTGGTTCAGTCAGGTTCTAAGAGTTGGCCCAGGATTTGTATACAGGGAGGCATTCTATTTTATATCCTCCCTCATCTTTCCCCTACACATTCCATTCTTTAATGTGAGCCCTCCAAGTAAAATTCCTTTTGCAGGGGGAGCAGTGCAATATCGTCCCTGACAACGTTGATGATATTGTTGCAGACCTAGCTCCAGAGGAGAAAGATGAAGGTAAGTTGTTTCCCTGTGGGGCAGGTGGCAACATAAATTGGAAACTAAACTTAAACTATCTTCTGGGAAGGCAATTTGCTAACACGTTTTAAAAGCTACAAATATACTATGTCCTTAGACTTGGTAACCCCATCTTTGAGGATTGCTGCTTGAGAAATAATCCAAAACAAAGCCAAGGCTAAGCACAGAGTGTAAGGGAACTGGTGAAGGCAGGACACCTCAGCAGTATCAGGCCTTTCACATATCATGTAAAAGGCACCTTCATGGGCTTCACAGCGCTCAGGTCCCTCTGTGTTGATCTCACGCTAGCCTGTGAGGCCGGCTGTGGGTCAGTCCACCTCCCTAGCAAGGAAAGTGAGCCCAGACCCTAAAGTCAGGGAGGCAATGCAGAGCCGTGGTTTCAGCTCACATCTTCTCACAGACCCAGAGCTAGACAAGCTGGGCTCTCCTCCTATGGCCGTGGGCAGGAAGCCCAGCTTTCTGCCACCACTTTGACTATAAAATGGGGATAAAAACAAGACCCTGCCTTGTAGAGTTGTCGGAGGATCAAATGGGATAAAACACATTAGGTTCTTAGGATGATGCTCACACCTAATAAGTGCTCAGTGAACACTGGTCACCCTTATTCTTATCATGACCCTGTGGAGGGGCTCACTGGGAAGATAAGCAACAACACATAAAAAAGCCTGCGCTTCCCCAGATTGCCTAGGATGGCCTGCACCTGTGTGCAAACAGTGTCTGCCAAGGCGAGGAGCTGGGAATGAAAAGATGTCCATGTGCTGAGGGGATGGGATTGTAAGAGAATTTTGCCTTATTATTATGTGATTGAGATTCGTATTAATAGAATGCTAAAATAGAACTTTTAAAGGGCAGTGAATGGCTGCTTCCATCCCAGGAGGAGCCAGGCTCGCTGAGGCTGGTCGGACAGCAGGGATTTTCTTGTCCCCACATGAGCTTGTCTGGGGAGGCCAGTCACAGCTTCCACAGGCTCCCAGGGAAAACATGTCCCCTCCTCTCCCCAGATGACACCCCTGAAACCTGCATCTACTCCAACTGGTCCCCGTGGTCCGCCTGCAGCTCGTCCACCTGCGACAAAGGCAAGAGGATGCGGCAGCGCATGCTGAAAGCACAGCTGGACCTCAGCGTCCCCTGCCCTGACACCCAGGACTTCCAGCCCTGCATGGGTCCGGGCTGCAGCGACGAAGGTGAGGAGACACACAGGCCTCCCTCAGGGAGGGAGGGTTCTGCCTGGCTCTGCAGGCAGTGTCCCTGGTAAGGCATTAGGACCCTGATGCGTTGTAAGGGTACCATCTCGGGCAGACCCCCATCTCCATCAGTGTCCTGAGGGCTGTGAACAGATGTGTCTCATGACATCAGAATTCTTGAGCTTGACCACCTCCCAACCCCCAGCCATGGAAGAAAATACACAAGTTGTTGAAAAGCTAGCAAACATGACAAATTACAGATAAGCTGCCTGCTTCTGTGCCTTAACTTCAATCTCAAGAAGCGGGGAACAGGTTGGCCAAGATTGAATCTAGATCACTGCTCTAATTCTCTGTCATTCATGGGCCCCGGTGTATGTCCTGCCTCAGCCTGAGTCCGAGCCCTCACTTCCTTGCGTCAGCACCTTTTGACTGATTGCAGCAATTCTGCCTTTGTCTCTGTAACTGGTCAAAGGTCAGGTTTGAACTCGGAGCTTGTGCCGCCCATGGCATGAAGGCTCAAGCCACAAGATGGCGCTACACTGACTGGTAAGGCCAGCTGCCTACTTTCCAGGGTACAACTCCTCTCTGGTCAGATCCATACTCTGTGCTTTCATCTTAAGTGTCTCGGAGGTGCAACGAGGCAATAGGAAGGGATGTATAGGCTGGGCTGGTTTATGGCATGAAGAAAAACCACTTCAAAGCTGAGGATAGCTTTAGAAAGCTTACCCCGCTGCAGGTCATTCACTCTCTGGCTCTCCCTCAGGACAGCCTTAAAATCCCTCTCCTGGCTGCACTCCATTGTGGGTGACGGGAGGAGTGAACCTTGCATGGACAGCCATTCCTACAAACAGGCAGCAATGCTGGAGGATTTCTTTCTCAGGGATGAGGATGGGGAGGGGTGGGCTGTCTGACTGAGACCTGCAGTGGATCTGAGGTGTTTAACCAGCCCCTCCACAAGGGCACTGTAGTTCAGCTGGCTCCCAGGTGGTAAAGACAGTTCTGAAACCTGTTGCACTATACCTGCTGTGTGTGTGGGGCGGGGGGGTATATAGTATTGAATTTACCATCTTAACTATTTTTAATTATACAGTTCAGTATTAAGAGTACCCCTACATTATTGTGTAACCATCACCACCATCCATCTCCAGAATTCTTTTCACCTCGCAAAACTGAAACCGTAGACCTATTAAGCACTAACTCTCCACTCCCTCGCACCCCCAGTCCCTGGCAACCAACATTCTACTTTGACTCTTCTGGGTATTGACTCTTCTAGGTATCTTTGTAAGCAGGATCACATACAGTACTTGTCTTTTTGTGAGTGGCTTATTTCACTCAGCATAATGTCCTGAAGGTTCATCCATGTTGTTAAGGGGTCAGAATTTCCCTGGGTCTAACATGTGGGTTCCAGCTGTCTTTCTTACTGTATCACCAGCTATACTGTCTATAGGTTAAATAACCCTGTGTGGGCATCACACATGTGCACATGATAGCCCGTGGACGTATGCATGCTGGTCTCAAGCTCTGACTTCAGTCCTCCTTTCACATCATCTCCCAGTGCCACACACAGTACGCTCTGTTCGGGTCGTCCGTACGAGCTACACTGTCCCTTCACCTTAAATGCAGCTCTTCTCTACCCAACAGAAGTGCGCTCAGCTGTGCCCTCTTGTGGGCAATCTTCCCCAGAATTCCAAGGAACAAGTTTCCCCCTTCAATTCCCTGGGCTTAACTTCTGTTGTATTTTCAATATCTAGAGATACTGCCAGTTTGTGTGCCCATCTTTCTGGAGTAAGAACAAAATCCGTATCTTTCTTGCCCTTTTTTTTTAACCTCAGAACATACCACTAAGCAGTCAGTAAATCTTTATTGACATGAGTAAAGGGATAGATGGATGACTTTTTTTTTAAAGGAACTAAACGGGTGCGTGCACACCTATACACACACACACAAAATCCATTCATGCACCTTTCAAATGTATTGTCACGAGATAAGGAGTAACCCCGAGTACTCTGTACACCTGGAAAAAGGCATTTCCTTTAGAGAACAATTCCCAGTCTAAAGATGCATGCCTTTTCCATTGACTCCATCCTCAACTGCCTAACTCCCCCTGAACGCCAGCTGGCATTCCCGACTCCTGCCTTGGGGAGTTGGGTCCAGCGGATCCAACGGGCAGCAGCGTCTGCTGATGTGTTGCAGACGGCTCCACCTGCACCATGTCCGAGTGGATCACCTGGTCACCCTGTAGCATCTCCTGCGGCACCGGCATGCGGTCCCGCGAGAGGTATGTGAAGCAGTTCCCGGAGGACGGCTCTGTGTGCACGCTGCCCACCGAGGAGACGGAGAAGTGCACAGTCAACGAAGAGTGCTGTGAGTGGGGCACGGGGCGGGTGGAGGCCGGGGTCTCGAGACTGCCAACGCGACACCAACGGCACAGGAATCCCCAGCTCCCAGCAGCTGCCTGATGACCGAGTGGGGCGAGTGGGACGAGTGCAGCGCCACCTGCGGGATGGGCATGAAGAAGCGGCACCGCATGGTGAAGATGAGCCCCGCGGACGGTTCCATGTGCAAGGCCGAGACGTCTCAGGCAGAGAAGTGCATGATGCCCGAGTGCCGTGAGTGGGCGTGAGGTGGGCGTGGGGGAGAGGACTGAGGACCACAGCAGCCCCTACTATTACCACCATCAAGGCTGGGCAGATGCAGGGGGAAAATACAGACCCTGTCCTTACAGGGTACTGCTAGGAGCAAGATGAGGACTATAGGTATGACGGCATCAACCAGATTGAGAGAGCAGCCGCCTTTAAGGGCCATTCTGAGTAATGCTAGGGTGGCAAACTGGTGGCCTCTGGATAGAATTCACTTGTGGCTGTGTTTTATACGACCCCAGAGTATCTTGGGGGTGGGGGTGATTGATAGATGCAGACAAGATGTGCATTCTCCAGGTCATCACAGACCTCTCATTCTCCTTGGAGTTGCCTGTGGTCCCATGTGCTGCATTAGAATTCCTGCTCTATACACAAATGCATATAGGCCCATACATCACTACACAGATGTACACATGCACCCAGGTACACGCACATTCTAGAGACTTCAGCACCAAAGTGTCCAAAAACACATCCTTGAGCCTGTCTTTTAGTTCATGGCTCTTGGGGCATGTGGGATGTTTGTCTCTGGGAAGACCCCATTCAGACTCTCGGGTGTTTCAAGTGGGGATGTGTGCATTCATATTACTAAGCCACATCTGCTGTCACATCATGACCACCAGCTGAGCCAGGGGAAATGCAGGAGTGACAAGAGCAGTCAGTAGTCTGCTGAGCCACTCCTTGCTCCATGGGGGTCACTTGGATTATCTGAACCCATTGGTCAATTTCACATAAGGTGCCCTGCGCGTGGGACAGTGAAGAGTTTGGAATCATCTACCTCTCTAGGGCAGGGGGCCTGATCTCAGTAGCAAACCTGGTTCTTGACCTAGACACCATTCCATGCTTGCTGTCCCCATGGTCCGAGTGGAGCGACTGCAGCGTGACCTGTGGGAAGGGCATGAGGACCCGCCAGCGGATGCTCAAGTCTCTGGCCGAACTCGGGGACTGTAACGAGGAGCTGGAGCAGGTGGAAAAGTGCATGCTGCCTGAATGCCGTAAGTCCTGGAGCTCCTGGGAGCCACCTCTCCACTCCTCCTGTTAACCAGCCCTGTGCGAGATCATTTGCTGGGGAGAAAGAGCACAGGCCTAGGATCTCTGTAGCAGTAAAGTATTTAAACTTCCATCTTCTCAGGAGTAATAGGGGATCCCACTACTATCTCCTTAATACCCAAACTGCATGATGCCGTGAAGTCTAAACAGGAGACTTGGACGAAAAACAGCACAGGCTCAGTAAAACTTATTTCATAGTTTTCCACCCCTCCCCAGATTAGAGGCTTGTCTGACCCCTGGGTTTTCCAAGGGTTTTAATCCTTTCTCCTCCCTGTGACCATCTTATGTGACCATGACCAGAAGGTGGACATCAAACCAGTGACTCCTGTTATCTTTGCAGCCTTGATAGTAGACAGGCCAGCAAACCAATAAGCTGAGCTTTCAGAAGTCCAAGGCCCACTCCCATCTCCTCCCAGATCTTTGTGATCAGCTGTGTTTATTACCTGGGGACTGATTTGCAAGGAGAGCCCATCTTTCTGGCTAGTCTGTCGTGACAGCTTCCCTTTCAGGTGGTGGGAAGCCAGCCATGCTTGCTGAGATCTGTTTTCTGGCTTCCTCTGAAATGCACTTGCAGTCTTCTGTGGTTCCTCTCTCTTGTATTACTCAGGCTGCCTGCCCGAGTGCAGATCCCAGCTCTGTCCCTTACTGGCTGCATAAACTTCAGCAGATTACTTAGCACCCCATCTGTCACCCGTAAAATAGCAAGAAAGACATCTTAGCTTGCTCTGCGAATTAAACCACAGAACTGGTACAAAGTGCCGAGCACTGGACCTGGAGAGTGCAGCCTCCGTCAGTGTTATGTAGACCAATTCCTGAGCTTTTTTAAACCAGACTCAGCCATGTGTGGAGGTGACTCAGGCCATCAAATTAAATAAAGCCTGCGCTTTTTAATAATTAAGATTGACCCAGAGTTCAGCCCAGCTGGGGTTCCAGAACCTTCTGAGACGCTGTAACCAACTTAAACAAAACTCTATAGCCACAAGGTCCACTGAATGAAGGGAGAAAAGAAAGAATATTTAAATACTAACTAACTGTGGGCCAAGAATTGGGCTGGGAGCATTATTCCCCTCAATCCTCACAACCTGATGAGAAAATTACCATCATACCCATGATGCGTACAGGAAAGCTGCCGGAGCTCCCACAGGGAGAAAAGGCCTGAGACTGTGAACAAAACGAGTTCTTGCTACGTCTCTCCAGCCTGGTCCTCACTTTGCAAAGGCAGTGGAGAGTTTGGAATCATCTACCTCTCTAGGAGACATCCTGAGAGTCACTCTGTTAAGCTGTTCTCCCTCCACATTTTGAGATGCTGGCTTAATGAGAACTTGCTGGATCTCTTACTGTGATAAGCCAGGACACCACTTGCTCCTGTCCCTCTTCTCTACTGAATTTCCCACTTCCGACTCCTGTGTTTTTTGCAGACTGCCACACAGAAGACCCAGGATGATGTCGAGAACAAGAGACACTGCCTGGGTCTTACTGCAAGTCAGTGTCCTTAGTACTGTCCACAGGGTTCAGCTCTGAAAAATGGCACCAGTGAGCTATGCCTTCCCTGAGAAAATCAGGGTCCTCTGCTGTGGGAAGCTGGTCTGTGCCACTTGAGGCTAACTTGATACTCTTCTAGAAGCTTGCAGGGCAAGAGGCTTTGAACTCATCTTCAAAGTCCCCCCAAAGCCATCTCAAATCATAAAGAGGGCAAAGAAGGTTGGCTATGATTTGGGCACTAACCTTGCATATACTGCTTACCAACCATGTGGGCTAGATAATCTGTCTCTTGGAGCCTCAGTTTCTACTTTCATAAAAACAGTTTCTACTTCCATAAAAACAGTACCTGTTTTGAACATTTTAACACAAGCCTATGAGAAATGCCAAGGAGTATAAGTGACAGTATCTTGTTTCAGACATGAGATGCACTCATGCCCATCTCTCTCTTGCCAGCCATTGACTGTGAGCTCACCGAGTGGTCCCAGTGGTCAGAATGTAACAAGTCATGTGGGAAAGGCCACATGATCCGAACCCGCATGATCCAAATGGAGCCTCAGTTTGGAGGTGCACCCTGCCCAGAGACTGTGCAGCGGAAAAGGTGCCGTGTCCGGAAATGCCTCCGAAATCCATCCATTCAGAAGCTGCGCTGGAGGGAGGCCCGAGAGAGCCGGAGGAGCGAGCAGCTGAGGGAAGAGTCCGATGGGGAGCAGTTTCCAGGTACTGTCTAAAGTGCAAGGCTGGCCTTCCAGGAGATGTCAAAGCAGGGAAAACCAGAGCGGATTTTAAAGAACTTGGTGGAGTTTGCCAGTTAAAGAAGGGCATCCCAGGCAGCAGGAGTAGTAACTGCAAAGACAGGGAGACACTAAAGAGCAAGAGATGTTCAAGTAGAAAGTGGGATGCAGGAGGAACACACTACAGGGGGAGGCAGGAAACCCAGCTGGGGAGTTAGGGACTTCACTCTGTAGATGAAGGTTTTAAGAACAGTGACTTTAACTGACCTGTGTTGAGTGGTTTGGAGGTGGCAAAAACAGGCAGAGGCGCCAGTTAAATTTTCTGTATAGCCCAGAAGAGAGATTATGTGTCCCCCTTCCTCCAGCATAACTTGAGGGAATTCCAGGACTTAAACAAGCCTGCCTAGAGCCTCACTGCTGAATAAGCTGGTCCAAGCCAAGAGTGCAATATCGTCAGCAAAAACGATGAAACAATAGTTGGGAAGATCCATGGTCAGTCTTGGGTCCAGGCCAATTGATGGTCTTTGGCTTCCCTGGAGTGGGTGACGAAGGTGCTGTGTGTAAGTGAAGGTTAGTGGGTTTCTACTTTTAAAAGTACAGCTCAAATTACCCCTTTTTCTTTTCTCTTCCTTGAAACATTACACCTCCACCTAGACAATGAGAGAAGTGCAGTTACAAGGAGCTACCTGAAGCTCACAATCTTTCCACTAGGGAGACACTCCCATACCAAAATGCTGTCTGTTGCACATGGTGGTCAGAGGCCAGTCAACATTCATTATGCCCAACCATGTGCCAGGCAAGCACTATGCCGTGAAACTTAGCTTCGTATTGACTGGATAATCATAACTGTGATTGGTTTTACAAAGGAGTAACATACAAAGCACTACAGAAGCTTTTTTGTTTTTACCCAAAGATGTAACCTAATCTGGGGGTCAGCAAAGTCTTAAGAAAGGCAAACCTATCTATAGAGGAAAAACAAATTATATTTGAGTTTACTTAGCATAGGGGGGAAGCTAAGTCCTTGGGGGAGCAATGCATAAGAGAAAGTGATTAATTGCTTGTTGAGTGGTTGCTGCATTAAGAAGCCACCCCAAAACAAATGAAATTAACACGATTCTATAGGGCAGGGACTTTGGCTGAGTCAGCTGGATGATTCTTCTGGGGTCTAGCTTAGGCTCATCCAAGTGGGTGCTGTCAGCTGATGGCTCACCTGGGGCTGAAGGTCTCGACCGGCCTCACCTGTGCTCCTGGGGCCTCTCTCCACGTGTTCTCTCCAGCAGATAGCCAGGCTTGCTTACACAGTGGTGGAAAAGTTCCTGACAGCTGTTTCCAAGCCATGTTTGCTCAGGTCCCACTGACCAAAAGCAAAGTCATATAGCCAAGCCCAGATTCAAGAGGTGCAGTAGCAGACTCCACCCCTTGATGGGAAAAAACTGCAAAGTATTTATGGCTTTTTTTTTTTTGCAGTCTATCACATGAGCTCACAGTCCCTAATAAGGACTCGAGCCATTATTTAAATAAACAAGAGCAGACAAGAAGCTCAGACAACTAAGTTGACAGTTGTTTACAGAAGTTCAGCATCCTTGTTCTTCCCCCAATGTCTGCTGGCCTAACCAGGTCTTCTCATGCTTTCAGGCTGCAGGATGCGCCCCTGGACGGCCTGGTCAGAATGCACCAAACTATGTGGAGGCGGAATTCAGGAACGCTACATGACTGTAAAGAAGAGGTTCAAAAGCTCCCAGTTTACCAGCTGTAAAGACAAGAAGGAGATCAGAGCATGCAATGTCCACCCATGTTAGCAAGGGTACACGTCTCCCAGGGCTGCACTCTAGATCCCACAGTCACCAATGGCTGGATTGTTTGTTTGTTTAAGGCAATTTAAATCGTGTATACTAGTTTTCTTTTCTGCAGTGTGGTCTGCCCAGTAGTCTTGTGGATGCCAGGGACATCCTTCTGTACACTTCTTGGTGGGCAAAATCTGAGAGGGGCTCCGTCATCCTCAGCCGGCCCTCCTGCAGCACAAGTTAGTGTCCGCTACCCAGTACTGAACAGAACTGTGTCCCTCTGCAGCATCCACCTGGGCAGCAGGACAGAGACCCCGGCCTCCTTCACAGGGAGAGGCCACTGTGTCTGCAAATAACTGTGCTTCGGTTCCAGGGTGTGGCAGGGAGGAAACATTCCTGATCAAGTGGAGAGCAGATTCCCCTCGTTCTCGTCTGTGGCCTGCTTGCTCTTGCAGGAAACTATTGTTTGCCCATCTCTTCTTGTTTAGTGGAACTTAGGGTCCCTTGTTGAGTCTCCTCAGTCATCAGTAGCTCTTGGGGAAAACAGCTGGCAGACGTGATGCTGGGTGGCTTTTCTTCTTTCATCGAGAAGTTGTGAATACGTGTATCTCACCCCCTAATATTGGTCCTGATACCACAAAGGAAAAAAGTGATGGCTGCTTCATTTGAATGTAAAGCAACCAGTTCTTACAGCCGAAGGAAAAGGTACCAAGTCCAGAAATTGTTTTTCCCTTGTTTTGCAGGGTTTGGGGGACACAATTCTCTTAGGAAGCCAGCTTTACAAAACTTCTGATACTAGATCCTTACTAGAACCAAGGCCAAGGCAGCAAAACTGGCCTCTGTAGAAGTCCCAAACCTGAGTTTTTAAAATCTTCTGACACGCAGCTAGGTTTTTAAGTTTTCAAACCAGTTTCTAACAAGAAAACATTGTTTTATTTATGTAAACATTTTGCTGAGTTGGTCCACAGCCTAGCATGCCATTCCTTCAACAAAAATACTATCTCTACTTGAAAAGTTTTGGGATTTTTTTTTTTTAAAGACAAATCTAGGGGAAAAGGAATGGTACAGAATCAAGCTTGGCAGAGAAGTCTGGTGGGAAGTCAAACCTGTGTCAGCTCTCCACACCAGGGGTCTGGTCCTCCAACACAACCACAGGGAAGGTCATGGTTTCCCATCCCCTCCTGAGCACTCATAAGCACACCAAATTCAGAGATACCGACTGCCAAGGTTTAGTGTAAAAGGACATTTCACTGAGAAGAGTCTATCAGCAGGTTTTACTTATTCATTTGTTGTTGAAATTATTGTTTCGTTTGTTTCAGGCCTTCGTTATCATGCTTAATCCAAATACATACCATGGATGAGATGCATACAATGCTTTGAATACATTACTTAAGAATGTGCATCAAACACATCAGGATATTTCCAGACACAACATTATATATATATATATATATATATATATATATATATATATATATATATGCATGCTATAGCCGTGATCTGTACTATTTTCTTTATAACACAAGAGAGATTGTTCAATAAACTCATTAGGTCTATCTTTTGTGTTTTAGTTTTAAACGAATTCAGTGTTCAGAAAGTTGGGCCTTTTTTTACAACTGTTATCCATTTCAATCACATTTAGCTAAAAGATACGCCTTTTGCTCCCTCATTCTTATCATTATTACCACATCCCTGAGCTTTCTGGAGGTTTGAGTTGTTTCCAAAATTATTATTTTTTTCATCCTTAAGTGAACTGCTTTCTCCCTGAACAAAGCAGCATAATATAAAGAAATAAGAGGTTTAATTTTCTACTTGGAAAAAAAGTAAGTCCTGATACAGAATCTGCCCACTTTTGCAACATTTACTGTTAGCTGTCTGGAGGCATCTTTCCTCTCACCTACGAAAATCAAATTTCCATATAACAGCAATTCCTAAGCAACTAAAGACAAGCCACCCTAGTTTCTCATGTTTTTATCTGGTCTCTACTGGGTACATTTTTAATCCTCATTTTGGAGACTTAAAACCAGGCAACTGGTTAATGGCTGAGAATGGGTAACATGTTTCTTGTTACATAAGTTGTTATTCTTTTGTTTGTTTCCAAGGGGGAATTTATAAGCATCAGATCTCTTTCTTACCAAAGTCTTCTGTTAGGTGGTTTATAGTTTTTCTGGCTAACTAATCATTTTGGAAATAAAGACTTTTTAATACAAAAATGAAATCTGCTTGGACTTCCACTTGAGAAAGTAAACAGATTATCAGACACTCAGTAAAAATTGCCATATAAAGAACAACTATACTTGTGTATATTTTTATCAATGCCAAACCACTTGGACTTCAGTTTACATTCAAACTGTAAGATGACAATAAGCTCAGAGATATATTCCCCAGCCAGACATGGGGTCACTCACCTGTCAACTTGCCAGTGCATTATTTGAAGGAACTCTGTTGTAGCAAATGAAAATAAAGTCTGGGCTTCTTCAGACCCAGAATTGAAAAAATTTTAAGATTTTGTGCTGGTTTTAATTTGACCTCTGTGTATTAAACATGTTTTAGGCACAGTCGAGGTCTGTATACTTCTTCCAGGAAGTTAGGGATACATTATACATTCTCACATGACTACAATTCTCCAGAAATTTAATCCAGGTTAAGTCTGCCGCTAAAATGTCAAGACATAAAAATTCTCATGTCAAATTATTTCTGTGACCTAACAACAGTCCACATGTTTCAGACAATAGTTTAAAGGAGTTAAATATCAAATTGTATCAGGACTGTACGGTCTGTTCCTTTCCCCCAAGAGTTAAATATTCATATCCTAAGAAATAGACAGCACTATCCAAATAAGACTAAATAAAAATGTATAACCTCTAATTATAACACAGAATCAAGGAAGACCTAGAGATTCCACTGTTTGGTACTATTAATTTTCATAATAGAATGATTCATTTTGTTTTTCATATTGCCGCAAGTAGGGAGAATGAATGAAAATAAAATAGTCCCTTCTGAAAATGAGATGCTGTAACCAACTATAAATAACAGCTGAATGCTAATGAGCACAAAGATAATTTTTCAATTTAAATCCTTTGAAATCTGTGGGCAAAAGATCTATACTAAAATGTCAAATTTAAATTAACAGCATACCTGCTTCAGAAACACTGTCAGTTTAGAAGGTCTTACATGCTCTGTCAGGCAGAGGCAGAAGTTGTAATGGTTAAGCAGGGGAACCTGAGTTCAAACCACTGCTGTGCCCATAAATGGCTGTGAGAGTGGGCCAGTCTTTTCACGCTTTCTGGCCTCAGGCTTTGTCACAAGCTTTCTTACACTAGAGGATTTCCCTACCCCAAAGTTCTCACCTTGTGAGTGGATCCTGACGATACCCTGGCAATGGGGGTCACTGAATGCCAGTTTTACCCTACCAGTCCCTCGCTTCCTCATCAACCAGTAAATGCCCAGTTAAAGCTGGCTTGAGTTGCATTTCTGTCACTTATGACTGATAATGCCCTGACAAAATAAACATGCAGTACTTTTACCCAGGTATCATCAGAGCAAAATGCAATTACAGACTTTTCACTCAACATTCATGTTGTAACATGAGATAGCATTTCTTATCTATCAGTATCATTTTCTCATACTATAAATTCTCCAGAAAACTCAGAATACATTCTTAATTATTCTTAAATATTCTCATATTTTAATAGTACTAACATTTAAGGTAATAATTCTCATGTTTTAACTGTTATATACTTAAAGTCTTCCTTTACTTCAAATAATTTTTAGTATTAGCAGAGGGAAAGGGGCCAACATCTTATTCAACATTATCGAGTTCTTTACAACACTTGGAATTCATAAAAGTAGAGTATTTTTTTCTAGTGTTAGCATGTGACTTCTACTGGGTGATCTTCACCTGGAAGTTACTAGACTCTTTAGAAGTCAAAGGGCCACTTAAGAAAAATTCCTGGATCTCCTGCTCCCTCACCCACTATGTTAGGGCTACTCAGAAAGAGATCTGCAGAGAACTTCCACAAACTTATTTCATTACCATCCTACAATGAGACGGAAATCAAAAGCATTTAGAAACTTTTATAGTAATTTGACATTGTCACAATATCCAAGAGTATGATTACTTTTCTAACAGTTCGTCTTTACTATTACATTTAACAAAATGTATCATTCCATAACAGTGAAAGTTAAACAAAAAATTCTTAAACTGGCCCTTCACCTCTGTCTGAGAAGCACTGCACTAAGCCACTGTCACTCACTAGTCAGAAAGGGATGTTACCTACGAACCACAGGCTTTTGAATCTTAAATGCTTCAGTACCTACACAATAATATCTACTTCCAGACTTCTATACCTATATATCTATGACTGAGTGCCCTGCAATGTCGTCTTCTTATTCCTCTAACACCCTACGCTACACCAAGCAAGATAACTGCATCACCCTCTGATTTTGCCAGAGAATTTCTCCATATAGCAGCTCACACGTAATTCCTCCACTCCCTTGCTCTCCAGTCATACCACAACCCGCTATAACCTGGTTCCCACAACCACACGACTGAAACAAATCTCTCAAAGTCCTCAGCAATCTCTACACAGGCACTGCTGCCCGTCTCCCCAGTCCTCCTTGCACAGCACTCAAGGCTCTCTACCACCCTTCGGCTTCCTTGAAAATACTCTCCTGCATCTTTCCAATTAAGGGCTGCTTCTCTTGGCTTTTTCCTGCCATTTAATCTTTTAATTTGGGCCTTTTGATACCCTAAATGTTCATTTTCCACAAAAGTTTTACCTTCTCTCAAACACACACTTTATACTTCAATCCACTGCCTCCGCTTCAATCATTAGCTCAAAACAGACCAATTCCAAATCTGCACTTAAAATTCAGTCTTACCCTCTTCTTTCAAGCTCCAGTCTCCATTCCCCAACACCTCCTGGACTAACCCTGTATGTAACTGCCATACTCACCATTATTTCTATCACTGGAAGGTTGGTGTGCTCCTTATTCACTTATCAAATGGTGGTTTTCTGCACATGCCAGGCAATATGGGTAAAGCAAAAAACCCAAGAGACATGGTTCTGCCCTCACAGAGCTTATGATGTTAAGGTACAGGTTAGACAAGACAGACAAAATAAACACAGATGGGTAAGTGTCATGAAGTAAATACAGGGTAGTGTGGTATTAGAATGGGTAGTAAAAGAAGGCTGAGGAGGTGGTATCTAATTCCAGAGTAAAAGGATAATTGGAACAGTTGAATGAAGCAAGTCATTTGGAACATATTCAGCATGTTCTAGGGTGTGAGAAGGCAAATCAGCCTGTATGTGAGAAAGCAAGAAGATGACAGATCCTGCAAAAAGTTTCCTTGTACACTTATGGTAAGCGATTCAGATGTTAGTCCAAGTGCACTGAGATGATGACAGATTTTAAGCAGCAGTGTAACATTTAATTTATGGTCTAAAAAAGATCCTTTTGGCTGCACTGGAAGAACAGCTTTTGGGGGGCAAAATGGAAATAAAGACTACTTCAGAGGCCACTGCAATAATGTGGGTGTGACATCAGAGGGGCTTAGACAAAAGTGGCAGAACGAATGGAAAGAGAACAGACTCCATGATTCTAATAACCTCTTATCTGACCACCCTTCCTTAAATCTACATTTCTCCATCATTCATACTACGTTAGACTGGGTTCAGGCACTCCTTGTTCAGAAGCCCCAGCAGTTTCCCAGTACATACAGAAGGGCCATCATTTTTAAGCCCTCCACAACCCAAGCCCAGTCAATTTTATCATTTTTTTTTCTCCAATGAATTTAAAAACCTTTTAGATTAAGGTTCCAATCCCAGAAAACACCCTGCATGCTGCCAACTCTGCTTCTGCCCGAGCTTCTTCCCAGCCTTTCCACCACCTCACCCTTCCCCTTCCCTCTCTTCCCCACCTCAAAGCCTAACACAGTCTGTCAAGCTCCAGTGAAAACATCACTAATTAAGAAGCTCAGCTCCCTCAAATTCTCCAGGAGGAATATATACCATCACCTGCTGGACCTGACATCTTTCTGCACGCTTCTCTCCCTCTGCCTTCACTCTACAGTCTCAGCATTTGTTTTTGTCACTCTTTGTGTTCCTCCACTAGATACTGAATAATCCGTAGGAAGGGAAAGCTCCGTATCTACCCATTTCCCCGGAATAGCTAATAAAGTCTTGCACAAAGAAATCTGTTCAAATTAAAATACCTTCTTTCTAAAAATTACTTTGAAACTTTATAAGCAGTCACTGGTTACATACCCTTAAGTGACTGAGTGATAATGAAAGTAGTCACTTTACCATATCATCTCCTTCTACTTACCTGCCAGGTATCTGTTCAAAGGGATCACTATACATAGGAATGCAAAAAGAAATAAGTTAAAACAAGGAATAGGCTAGACCTTAAGTATATACAACGTTGTTACACTGAATTTCAAAAATCAAAATATAAAGGGACCAATTTATGTTACAAATCACTGAAGCCTCAAACTTAGAGAATCATCAGTGCATAAGGAATACCAATAGGGCATAATGTCCAACTTGGAAATATTGTAAATCCTTCAACAAACAAGATAGGGAGAAAATTCCTAGAGCAAATTCATGACTATTAATTCAGGAAATCCTGTCTGAAACAACTTCCACAAACATAAGAGATTCTAAAGTTGGGAACATAACCTCACATGCTAAAAGTGCTACAGAGCAGGACTGGCAAACCATGGCCCACAGATCATACCCAGTCTGCCATCTGTTTTTGTACAGAATGATTTTTACAATTTTAAATGAACTTCTGAAAAATTCAAAATATAAATATTTCATGACATATGAAAATGATGTGAAATACAAATTTCAGAGTCCACAAATACGGTTTTATTGGAACATGGCCATATTCCTTCATACACAGATTGCTTATGGCTGCTTCAGTGCTATAGTGGCAGTGATGAGTGGCTGGGACAGAGACCACATGACCCACAAAGCCCAAGATGGTATTTACTAACTGGTCCTTTACAGAAAAGGTTTGTCATCTCCAGAGAAAAAAACTGGCCACACAGACAAGGGAGACAAGGACTATTCATGCCATGAGACTGGCCATTCTTTGTAAGAAAAGATTTCAAGTCACAGACTGAGGGCTACAAGATGATAGAAATCAAACGGAAGTGACTTTGGCTTCTAGTCACGGAGTAGCATGAACCAGATTTACCCTCCTACCTTAAACAGAAAACTGGAGTAAATATGTGAAACAACTGTTTTTAATCATTATACACCAGGCAGCACAGGACTACAATCCCTGATGGAAGAGAAATAAATAAACTAAGCCTTAGGACTGCCCTGGCTTTCTGCCTAGAAGCTTATTCCAGATTGCAGAGGGGATAGTGGATTCCAAGCAGGGCACAAATGTTTCCCTGAGCAGAAAAGACCGACAATGGAGATCAGGCAGACTGAAGCAGCTGAAAGTTGCAGGACAGAGTTTTGGAAGGAAGAGAGCTACACAGAAAAAGAGCTCCAAAAATATGCAGAGGGTCAACAAGTCTTTGTTGAATATTAAGATACACATGTTAACAGGGTGAAACTCCAGGAGGCTAAGGAGAGAATGACCCAGGAGCTGTGAATAGAATGGTTCCCCAGAGCTCACATGGAACTGGGAACTGCTGAGTTCCTACAAGCCAAACTGGAGGAGAGTCCTCACTGATTATACAGGTTATTCAGTAGAGACCCCAGAAGGGCCACACCTTAGCAGTGGAGCTAAACTATCCTGGGAAAAAGCTACTTGAGACTGCATGAAGCTTAAAAATAAGCCTTAAGAGGATCAAACTGAACTACAAGTAAATTAAATGGCTACCAGAACAAAGCCCAACAATCTTTACTTAGATGAAAGCAACAAAATCTAGGCACCCAACGACCTAAAATACACAATGTCCAGTACCCAGTAAAACCTTGGTAGACATGCAAAAAAAGCAGGAAAATGAGACTCATAACTAGAGAAAAATCTGTCAAAAGAAATAGATCCAAAAGTTTTACAAATGAATCAAAAGACAAGGATGTAAAAACAGCTATTATAACCATGTTCAAATATTCAACGGAGCCTTTCTCAACCAGGAATTAAGCCGCACAGAAAGTTACTTGAGGGATTATCTCCTCTATTCTCCCAAAGACGGTACACAGCTAGAGTCATTCTACATGCACAGAAGAGAAGTTAATCCATTATATACAACAGATAAGGCATTAGACTTACTTCTCTGGGAACTTTGTTGAGAGGTGCTGGAGAAGAAAAATACATGAATACAATGAAGAAAGAAACAGAAGATATAAAAAAAAAAAAAAGAACCAAACAGAACTTCGACCGAAGAAGAAAAAAACAAATAAAAACACACAAGGTCCAAAATGAAAAACTCATTGGCTGGAATTAACAGCAAATTAAACAACTGCAGAAGAAAAGGCTGGGCAACTTGAAGATGCAGCAATAAAAATTATTCAAAGTGAAGCACAGAGAGAAAAAAAAAGATAGATTTAGATAACAAAATTTAACTTTTAGGCTGCTTTACTACAAATCACCTATTTAGAATAAAATTAAAGATTTCCCACTAAATATGAATGTTATATAAACAGTCTCTTGTTATCTGAAGTTAACCAATGATAAATAAAAAATCTTCCCCAAATGAAAGTACTAACATGATAGTGCAAAGCATCAAAAGCCACAGGATAAATGTGGAGTCTTCCTGGGCAGTAGTTTCAATTATCATTCAAATAAATATGTGTGCTTTGCTTCAGTTGTTTAAGGCTTCATCCTAAGGAAGAGTGTATATTTATGTGCATGTGTATGTATTCACCTCCTCTCTCCTCTACAGTTGGGGTTCTTTGTCAGGAGCACTTCACAGAAAAAGTTGAAGAAACACAGACTCAAGAAAATACTCAGGAAATCACTAAAAACACCAAGCCATTTCACTTCAAGTTCACCTGCTACATAACCAACATTGATCTTTAGATTTAAATCCTAAGGAAAAGGCACAGAGCTACCAAAATAAGTTTCCTCCAACAGTCCTTCCTTCAAAAAACCACCAAAATAACAAGTCATCAAGCATTATCTTGTGATAACAGATCAATTTTAATTCTAGCACCAGAAGCTATACAAGGGTAAGCCTTATAGACTTCATGGGACTGTTGTACACATTCAGTAAAGTGACAACTGTGCAATACCACTCAGTATCTCAAAATTAGGAACATATTTTTGAATTGTTTAAACACAATCCACAGAATTAAAAACAGAAGCCATCCACAGTTATACTAATTGTCAATTAAAAGTTTTAGCACTGACTACTTGATAGAACAGCCAAAATCCAGAAGGGAACATCAGAAGTGAGTTCAATGTCATCCTGTTGTACTCTTTTGGGAAGGTTTCTTATGTAGTTATGTGACTGGCCAAAGGTGGGTACAACCAGGACCCGGACAGCAAGTAAGGTTCTACCACAGTTTCTGTAGTTTTTCACTTTGTTTTCTTTGTCAGTTAAAAGTGAACAGTGAGAATTAAATACTTATCTTTACATATACACAAGTTATGCTGTGAAAGCATATTTGCTTACAAACATATAAAAATACTTGTTAACTAGTTTGATAAGAAAATAATGTATAAAAGTATATAGCAAAAACATTAATCATCTCTGACCCTGGAAAGATCAATTCCATATTTTATATTACAAACAAAAACAGTTTTAGTTTTTTGAATCCCTTATCCAGAAATACTTGAAAAGGAAGACAGACGGAAATTATTTATTTTCACTCTCAACATGGCTGTGAAAAGAGTTAAATTAAAAAACCAAGAACACTGAAATGCTTAAGTCCAGAATGAGTCCAAATATTTGGCCACACAGAATATTATCTTTAAGAATAGGAGTAATAGTAAAGGATTTACACACAGTTTTTAACCTATAAATACAATAGGCATTTTCTTATTTTGGCCACTGGAAAACAAAGGCTGTAGCATCAGTAAAGATCTGAGATGTCTCACTTTTATGGATTCAATTCAGTGTATTTAAGGTTAACTGAAGTTGACATCAAAATTTTTAGAGACAGGCAAAAATTCACATTTAAAAAAAACTCCCTATGTTTCTATATAGAGTAACAGTAGGCAATATGATTCCAGAAGTTAAAAGTAATTTTACAACCTCTGACTCCAACTTGGCAAACAGCTTAGGTTCCAAAACTGATTCATCCCTAATAAAAGAAAGCCCTTAAAAAACAATGTGTCTGTGTATATAGATATACTTTTTAAAGGAATCAGATATCTTTGAAGCAGCCTTAGTGTTTCCTTTAAATCTGTCTTGAAATGACCATAGGATGAGCTTCACGGAAAGGATTAGCCAGCTTCTTGGTCTAAGGCTACCATGGTGATCATTTGTCTAAGGCTAGAAAGGTACCAACGTGACATAAACCGTTAAGAAGAGGAGAAGACGAGGGCTTTTCCTGGCAGTTGGTAGCTAAAATTCAAGGGATTCTTAGAAAATGACACAATGGCAGCCTTTCTTGTCTTTTTCTTTCCGTGTTGGTTCTGGTGAAGGAGGACATTCCTGCTCTTGAAATTTCCTGTAAGATAGAAAAATCTACAGATAATTGCCTTTTTGATAATATATCACTGAAAATGTAGATTATTGTTGGCCAAGTCTAGTTTACGTGCATATGCTTTCAATGAATCCAAGCAAATCTTCGGGATGGGGGTGGGAGGAAACAAATGCTTCAACACCAGCATAAGCAAAGCTGCCAGAGTTTCACTGATGGACAAGTCCTCAATTAGATGAGATGCCGAACTCAATAAAGTCTAGGTTCCATTCCCAGTTTGAAATTTCATGACTCTAAGGTATCCTTAAGAATGAACATCCATCACCAGAGTATGACACAGAGTACCTACCCTTATGAGGTATGCTGTTTTGCCACTTCTGAGCTGCAAGTCAGTGTTCGACAAGTTAGTTGACCTCTCTGAGCCTCGGTTTTTTAGAAGGGACAATAAAACCCTACCTTTCACAGTTGCTATGAGGATTAAGGAAGATCTCGTTATGTTCAAATGCCTAATGGTGTCAGGCATAAAAAAGTCTCCTTTACCCCCTCCTCACTCCTAACTGATCAATGGATAAGGATAGATTCTGAGGATCAAAACCAAGGAGGAAATATCTCAAAAAATCAATAAAAATTATTTTAAGAATGCACTGGTTCATGGGGAGGAGGGGTAAAATACACATAACAAAATTTACCATCTTAATCATTTTTAAATGTATAGTTCAGTGGCTTAAATATATTCACAGTGTTGTGTACCACCAATCACGTCCCAAATCTTTTTATCTTGCAAAACTGAAACTGTTTTCATGTAAAAAAATAACAGAACTTAGACTTTAAACAAACTACTAAAAAACAAAAATGTAATCTTCACTCCCCACGCGCCTACAAGAGAATGCCCTGGCAAGGGGCTAAAAAAAGTACAAGAATCTCAGATGTCAGTTCACCTTAGATATACAACTAACAAGAACTCCATATATCCGTCAAACTATCCAACAAGTGGAGAAACCAGCAGATCTAGAGAACAAAGAGTGATGTAGCAGCCAAGCCACCAAGATCCAAAATAATCTAACCAAACCCCATCCACTAAAGCAACTCACTCTTTCTCACACACACTCTCCAGCCAACCTCATTTATCACCTCCAGCTTCCTAGAATCCATGAACACTTTCCAAACCACGGGGACCTCCTAGGCTGGCTAACAGAAAACCTCTATGTGGTCTGGATATCATGCTAAATTCATGCCCTGGGGGACTGCTGAACCTCTACTGCCTGGCCTCCTCACAGCCGAGGAGGAGTTGGGTAAGAAGCAAAGCGAAGAGCACAGGTTCTGGAGTCAGAGACATGGACTGAAGTCCTAGCTCTGCCATTTAATGTGTTCAAATTATTTAACCTCTGTACCTGTTTTCTCATCTGAAAGGGGGGACATTATTGGGTTGTGATGAGGATCAAATGTAGTAATACAGTGAAGCACTCAGCCCAGCATCTGGCTGAGATTTCCATGCCAAGGCTAGCTGCTGTCATCAGTACCCTCATACCATCGTCACCTTCGGAAGTTGCAGATTCTTTTCAAAATCCCTATATATACTCTATTTCCATATAATAAAATTAGGCTTTTAATGTAGGAAGTAACTAGAATAATCATTAAAAATTTTAACATACCTATTAAAATGCATTAATTTCCAGACAAGAATCACTCCTGCATACAATTTTCTTTCTTACTTAAAACATTTAATTGTAATTTTCTTCCCAGTTGTTTTAAAAAGCATAGTGTGACTACCCATGAAATTCAGTAAATTAAAAGAAACTTCTAGGATGTGTTTTGCTTACCTTATAACCCGGACAAGTTCATGGAAAGCTTGATCTACATTCATCCTAATCTTTGCTGACGCCTCCATGTATGTTACCTTAAGCTGTCGTGCTAACTGCTGTCCTTCTTCCTGTGTTACCTGAAATTCCAAGAGTTGTGTTTGAGCTACAGCATTAACAATAAGATTTGCTTCATCTAATTCTCAGCCACAGAATGCACTGTTAATACAGCCAGAGGCCAAGCTGGTTTGTCATAAGATGAACCAAGAGACTTAATAGCTCAACACACAGTGCTGAAGCCTAGCTCTACAGAACAAGTCTGAAAAATATGACCAAAGATTTCAGTCTAGTGATTACTCAAAAAGTATTAAACATAGCAGTGATAAGTTCTGGGAAGGAAAAGTACAAGGTGCTACGAGAGTCTATAACCCTGTGGGGCGGATCAGAAAAAGGCTCCCTGAGGAAGTGATATTTGGGCTAAGAACTAAATAAGAGTATGGAGCTGGGTAGGGGTGGGGCAAGGAAGTATCCCTAACAAAAGAAATAACATGTATGAGGGTGCTCCAAGTTGCAGGAACTGAAGGAAGCCTAGAATGGCTGAAATACAACAAGCCAAGAGAAACTGGCAAGAGGTGAGGCTGGAGAGCAGGGCAAGCCTCGAGAGACTGTGGGGTCACAGTCTTCTCTCCATCCCCCAGTGCCTGGTACATGGGAAACGCTCAATAAATATGTGAGGGAAAATGAATAATGAATAGGACCACAGCCCTCACAATTCCTTCCTTACCTTAGGAGATGAAGGAAAGTAGGCAGGGAAGGGTGGCATCACTGATGACATACAAAATGGTAGGCCAGAATAAGAAAACACTAACTGAATGTAAGTAAATACCCTACAGATTTTAAATGTAGAAGTTGGACTAGTGATATTAGTCTCTATTCCATTTATATTTACACAGTAGGGTGAAAAATTATTTCTGAAAAAATTACTTTCATTGCTGTCATTAGCACAAAAATAAACACTTACAAAAGGTTAAAAAATTATAGATGGACAAAAAGAAAAAGAAAATTAAGGCACCTATCACCTATACAGAACCACATTCCTCTGGTCTTTTTTCAGTGATGTACATTTTTCTCTGCAAAAATAGAATCATAATTTTTGCATCTTTATCTTAGACCCTAGAAATACACTAAGCTTATCTAGGGTTTTTTGTTTGTTTTTTGGTAAATGCAACATAAACATAAACAATCATGTCATTTGCTAGTAAAGACAGTTTTGTTGCTTCCTTTCCGATGTGAATGTCTTTATTTCTGGCTCTAGCTCACTGCCTACAACCTCCTGTGCAAGACAGCAGTGGTGAGGCGGTACTTTTGAGTAGTTTCTGATCTTAGGGACAAAGTTTTTAGTCTTTCACCATCAAGTAGGCTGTTAGTTGTGGTATCAGGTTAACAAATCTCCTCACTATTCTGTTTGTAAAGAGTTTTTATCAAGAATGGATGCTGGATCTTGTCCAATGCTTTTTTCCCCCCTTGCATCTATTGAGATCATATGATTTTTCCTTTTCAGTTTGCTAATATGATGAATTATACTGATTCACTTTTGCCTGTTAAATCAACATTGCACTCCTGTAATAAAATCCACTTGAGTGATAATGCATTGTTTTTTCATGTATTGAACTCTATTTAATAAAATTTTATTAAGAATTTTTATATTTATGTTTACAAGAGAAAATGAACGGTAGTTTCCTTTGTATGCTTTGGTATTGGAGTAATATTGGCTTCATATGATGCCAGTTTGGGGATTTATTTACTTTTTCTATGGTTTTTCTATTTACAATTTCATTGGTTTCCATTCTTATCTTTATTATTTTCCTTCTTCCAACTACTATCGTTTTAATTTGTCCTTTCTTTTTCTTATAGTTTCTTAAGGTAGAAGCTAGTCATTGAATTGCAATTTTTTCTTTTCTAATACAAATATTTAACACTATAAACTTCTTTATATGTATATACTTCTTTAGTAGCATCCCACAAATTCTGATATGCTGTTTTATAGTTATCATTCAGTTCATAATACTTTGTAATTTCCCATTTTTTCTTTGTACCAATGGTTAATTAGAAGTATCTTAGTTTCCGTGTATTTAGAGACTTCCTAGATACCTTTCTAGGATATTGATTCCCAATTTAATTCCACTGTGGTCAAAGAACATATACCATCTGACTAAATCCCTTTAATTTTATTGAGACTTGTTCTATGATCCATTCTCATTTTATACGATGTGTATTCCGCTGTTGTTGAGTGTTCACTAAATGTCACAGTAAGTTGCTCAATAATGCTGTTCAAATCAGCTATGTCCTTACTGATTTTCTCTCTACTTGCTCAATGATGAAGAGAGACGCTGAAACTTCTGACTGTAAGTGAATGTGTCTATTTCTCTTTGCAGTTCTTTCAATTTTTGCTTTAAGAAATTTAAAGCTGTTATTTGGTACATGAATGTTTAGGATTGTTATGTTCTCTTTATGAATTTCTATCATTATGAAACAATCCTCTTTATTCCTGGTAATATTCTTTGCTCTGAAATCTACTTGGTCTGATACTTCTATTGCCACTTCAACTTTCATTAGTATTAGTATAGTGTATCTTACCCCACCCTTTATACTTTTAACTTATTTGTGTCTTTACATTGAAGGTCTTGCTTTTTATCCAATGTCTGCCTTTTAATTGAGGTGTCCACAGTATTTACATGTAATGTGCTTACTGATATAGTTGAGTCATCTTTAATTTATTTCCTATCCGTCCCATTTGTTCTTTGTTCTATTTATCCTTTTTCTGCCTTCTTTTGAGTTTACTGTATTGTTTTTATGATTCTATTTTATCTTTGTTGGCTAATAAACTATTTATCTATTATGTTATTGTTACGATCGCTTAAGAGTTTACCATATACATTTTTCACTCATCACTGTCTAATTCAAATGGTAGTATGCCAATTCATGTATGGTTTAAGAACTTACAACAATAGTATGCTTCTCCCTCTTGCTTATTGTTATTACCTATTACCTCACAATACATTGTTATTAGTTTACTTTAAACATCCCATTATGTTTTAAGGAGACTGAAATAATAAAAGCAGTTTACATTTACCCACATAGCAGGTAAAGGTGGTCTTCATTTCTTTGTATAGGTCCAAATTTCCATCTGGTATGGTTTTCTTCCTTTTTGCATTTCTTATAATGTAGGTCTGCTGGTAATGAATTCTTTCACTTTTTGTATATCTGGGAGAAGTCTTTATTTCACCTTTGTTTTTGAAGTAAAGTTTTAGTAGCTATTGAACTCTAGGAGACAGTTTTTCTCTTCGTACTTGAAAGATGTTGTGCCACTATCTCCCTTACATCGTCTCCTATGGGAAACAACGTGACTACTGTTATCCTTATCTTTGTTGCTCTGTATGCAGTTGTTTTTTCCTCTGGTTATTTTTCAGATTTTCTATCACTGCTTTTAAGCAATTTCATTAACAATGTGCCTTGTAATTTTCTTCATATTTCTTGCACTCAGGGCTTGTTGAGCTTTAGAGTTTATCAAACTTAGAAATTTTTCAGCCATTACTTCTGCTATTACTTCCATCCAGTGTATTTTTCAACTCAGACATTGTAGTTTTAATTTCCAGAGGTTTGATTTTGAACTTTTTACATCGTCTATGTCTCTACTTATTATATTCAATCATTTCTCTAGCTTCTTGACCATATGGAATATGACTATAATAACTTTTAATTTCTCTGTTCACCAACTCATCTGTGTAGTTTCTGGGTCTGTTTCTACTTATTGTTTTTTCTGCTTATTATGGGTCACATTTTTCTGCTTCTTTATATGCTTGGTAATTTTTGAGTGGATGTGAAGGTACTGGATTTTTAGCTGTTAGTTTCTGGAAAGTTGGTATTCATATATTCTTGAGCTTTCTTATGGGATGCAATTATTTGTATAGTTTGATGCTTTTTGTCACACAGTACCAGAGCAACAGCTAGTCTAGGGCTAACAATTTTGCTCCAGAACTAGAACAAAATCCTTCTCAGTGCACTACTCAATACCTCAAAAACTAGAGGATTTTCCACCCTGGCTGATTCGAATATGAATTATTTCTAGCCCTATTTTAGCTCAAGGTATTGTTCCCTCTAATTCTTTCAGGTAGTTTGTTCTAATTTAAAATTATATGCTCAAAATTCAGCAGCCTCAATGAAATATCATGAGGCCATTACATTAATGCATATACATCTAACAATTATTTCATAACAGTTTATACCCTACTGTGTTCCAAAAGTGTGGCAGCAGGTTATACATAGCTTTGGTATATCCAAGTTTACGTAATTTTTAAATTTACCCTGCCTCTCTTCAAAACAGCGTATGTAACATAAGGCCTATGGTTTGAAATATAAATCAATCAAATCAAGCAAGAAATTAACAATAAGTAAGGAAACCAAGTAAGAAAATAAAGCTTTACAGAGCCATCAATTCAGAAAGGAAAACTCCTATTTTAAGAAAATTTGACATCAAATTCCTTCCTACAAAAATACCATTTTGTCAAAAATTCTATGCTTTCTTCCTGGGATATCATCCCTTCTCTCCCAACTCTGTATTCTTAATTTGTTTCTTACTAATACTTCAAGGCTCAAGCAATCAAACTTCCCCTTAATGTTGTTTTTACAACAGCATCCCAGAGTGCCCATCACACCCTATAATGAGCAGCAAAAAAACCCCAACACGTTACATTTCTTCATTTTCCCACTTTCACACCATTATGTCCTTTGCAGCTAGGTTGTAAGGTGTATTTGTCTTTGTATACCCGCAGCCTATAAGAATGTGTAGTAGTTACTTAACAAATGTATGTTAAGTAAATAGAATATGACGAAATAAGTAAATTTGGAAGTAAAAGAAATGATATAGGAAGAAAAGTAAAAAGAAATATCTGAGACATATCAGTGTCAATAAATTACCTTATTAACATAAAGTAATTTGATAGGGAAAGGGAAATATATGTCCTTAAGAATTCTGCACTTTGTCTTTCTGCTCAGTTATTCTTCAGAAAGGTACCTTATCCTATCCCCCCTAAACAATGTAATTCAGCTAGAGGGAAATAGCAAATGACCTATCTTTATACAATGAAGAAAATTAATAAATCAATGGTCTAGATAATAAAACAATCCCACTGCTAAGACCATTTATGTGCTTCATTTATTCATTTTTAAACCATGATCTCACACCACTGTCTTCCAGGAATCCAGGTTAGCAAAGTTTGTACACACATTTCTGGTCAAGAAATCTCTAACCACATATAAAGCTGTTTTCAAGCTCATTGGTGTAGTATACTTTTAACTAAGAAGTAGAAACAGCATTGCTATTACCAAAGAAAAAAAAAATGACAAAAAGAACACCATGTGGAACAAAGCCAAAACATTGTGAAACCAGAAATCAACAGAAGACTGAAAGCTACACAAACAAGGATTTCCTAGAGGTTTTCCAAGCCAGAGAAGTATACAAAGATACCAAATGCTAAGCCTGGATATTCTGGTTTGGTAGGTCTGAGTGCTACCCAGAAAACGTTTGGTTTTAAACAACTAAGGAGAACCTGATGCAAGAAACTCAGATTCACATTTGGGAGCCTCCAGTGAGACCGTTTCAAAGGCACAAATGAGTATTAGCAGAAATCCATGCTAATATGAATTTATCTGTTACTATGTATTTCCAAATAAAGAGCAAAATGGGAATGATGAGAGTAATTTTATTAAACAAACTGGGTTTAACAGGAGTAGACTACAATATTTACAATACTCACTTAGGTTATTCATTAACTCAACATATTCCTAAATTTACAGAAGCAAAACCAGTTTTATTTTTCAAAAATATCTACTATATAGAAAAAAATCGTATTAATACTACATCTTGATTCATTCATTCAGTAACTATATATTGAGTGCACATCTGTGTTCTATGTGCTACGGACAAAACACGAACTAAGTGGTCAAAACTGAGAACCCCTTGCAGTGGTTTACAAACCCTTTTAGATGCAGACAAGGCCCAAGCAGGTAAGGCCAGAGAAGATGCTAACTCTATTGTTGGGGGGAGGGGTTTCTTTTTCCTGGGAGGCTACAGGGGCACACTGTGGTCAAAGTACTGACAGACAGGAGGAGTAGGGGTTAGTACACTTAGATATCCACTATTATAAGTATAATGGGCTCCTTTCTCTAATAAATGGTGGTCAGTAGCAATTAAATACCTAACAAGTAGGAGAGGAAAGGGAGAAACTAAGGTTAAGCCAGGAGAGGTAAAAAGGTAGAAAATAAAAAAGCAAAAATAGCCAATTTGTAAACGGGGCTGAGTCAAGGACAAGGAACTTGAAATCAGAGCTATTATGAAGTCCACAGTGCAAGCCCACACAACTGCTATATTAAATTTCAAAATCAATGTGTTGTCATATTTACCTATGTTTACATTTAGCAAGAGCAAGCAAGCAAATCATTTACCTATATTCCTCCATCTTTGATAGGATAAACAAAATGATCTACGTATCTCTAAGGGCCCAGGTATGTGGTAGCATTGCCAGTCAAATTCTACAGATCTCCTTTTATTTCAATGACTTTTTCCTACTGCCCTGTCATCAGTGCCTAGGAAGTGTTCTATAAATACTGGATGGATAGGTGGGTGGATGAAGCAAGTCCACAGAGATACAGAAGCCAAAAGGAAGCAGGCAGGCAAAGCCTCTTCTGGCTGATCTCTCCTCCCCAATAGGCTCCCCAGGAGCCAGTAATAGGAACACCAAGGGCTGACCCACAAATTCAAAGAACATGGGGAAACTGGCATTTGCTATGCAAGAGAAAACAGGCTAGAAAGTAGAGAAAGTCCCAAGTACTGTGTCTAAGAAAAAGGCAGAAAAGAACAAGCTGGTCAGCAGCTAAGAGCAAGCCAGACTGGTCACTACGAACCTGAAGAAATGACCAAAATGTCAGCATTTCTAAAGAAGGGGAAGAAATTTTCATCGGGTGCCCGGGGCTTGTCCAGGTTCAGTTGGAAAAGCAAGTAAGGGTGCCAAGACATTATAGAACATCATCTTTAATTCTGAAGAGACTTTTAAAAGGTGAAACCCTTTAGTATAGCACCTCCACTTCAACTGGACCAAGTACGGCCCTCAAGACTAGGCATGTTTGTCTTTGTATATCTGGGGCCTAGATGAGTGTGCCTGAGCTCTAAGACAACCGAGAGAGACAAGGAAGTACCAATAAAAAGAGGAGGGAGGTGGGAGGAGGAAGGAGGCCTAGGAATGGTGAGCTAAGTAAATAAGAGCTAAGTAAACAAAGTCTTTCAAAAAGTAGAGTGTGAGCAACTGTGTCAAATGTTACTGACATCTGTGCAAGTGGTGACCTTGACCTGACACTGCATGCCCCAAGTCAGTGCAAGCAAGAAAAAGAAAGTAGAGAGCAAGTATAGACAACACTTCTAAGGAGTTTTGCTTGCTGGAGGAGCAGCAAAAAGGTCCTCAGAGAGGAATGTGAGATCAAGAACTAGCTTTTGCTGTGGTTACTTTTTGTTTTAAAGATGAGAGCATACAGCATGTCCCATGCTGACAGAAATGACCATGCAGAAGAGAAATGGGACACCTGGATGGAAAAATTGCTAGGGTAATGGATGCTGGTGAGCTGGCGACAAGGAGCAGACAGGCTCCAGTGCCTATGGGAGAGGCTGATCAGAGAGGTGAAGTTTATCCATGAAAGTGGAGGAGGCAGAATTGATGGGGCACACAAGCACTTAAGGTTAGTACATGTGGAGGTGGGAACATGTAGAAATTTCTCAGTGAAATAGTGAAATACCACTCATCATCATCAGCTGAGAGTGAGGAAGGGGAAGAAAGTGTAAGCTTAAGAATGAGAAAGTAAGTAATAATCATCCAAACAAGTGGGAAATGAATGGACTAGGGAAGCGTAGTAGGATTTCCAGTTAGCACTAAAGGCTCACATAAGAGTGGTGATCATGTCTTCTCTCCTTACTAACATGCCTGAGTGCATGTGTGTAAGGAAACTAGAAAAGAGAAGAAGAAGCATGGGAGGAACACAAAGTTTCTTTGCACCTATCCTTCAGAGAGGAGAGTCTCCAGGAACGAGCAGAAAACTATGCCATTTTCAGCCACTTGTTTTTCTCCCTTGGATGTGTCTTAAAGCTGATAAATAAATACAGAAGGATTTTCTCTAAGCTAAGTGCATATCTTTAAGATGATGGAAATATGAGACGTATCATTCCCTATATTATCCTTTCACCACCTTGTTTTTATTTTACTCTGAGAATCTATTACTTTTATTTAAAAAAAAACTCAGCTGAAAAGTTTACAGGCCTCTGGTATAAAACAAAGCCTAAGTACCACAGTATGTCAATATCTGCAGACAGATGGAAACCACACTCCGAATGCTGGCAATCGTCAGTATACAGATAACTTAAAAATAACTCATAGAGACCCCCTGCCCCAAGCTAATCACAGAAAGACCTGTTTAGTTCTGATGGGGCTACTCCCCAGTTCCCCCTAATCTACTACCGCCTACCCTTTAAGAAGACTCCCACCTCACCCCAGGCCTGCCACCTGTTCCTTCACTGGAACTACCACCATGAAAACGTGTGAGAAAAATCAGGGCGGGAAGTATTTGAGGGTGGAGTGGAGGTTAGTGTTAGATAGGGCAAGAAACCATGTTCATTGCAGACCTACTTTGGCGTTATTTTCCAGATCCAATGACATTCAAGTATTTCTGGTTCTACAAAGAACTAGAAGAGTAGTAGACAGGTTCTACTGGGCAGTATCTAATAAATAAAATTAGATTCAGAAACCCTGAAGGAAATGCACTCCCCCCAAATAAAATATCAATTAAAAAAAAAAGATGGATTGTCTACAGGTTTTAAAATGTGAGCAGTGTCATATTCTAAATTATCTCCAACAGCTTATACTGGTTTGCAATGAAGATCAAATGTTTTCACCTTAACTTTATAATAAATCAAATTTGAAAGAGACCTCGCAGTAAAATTTATTCTACATCAAGTATTATCAGTAAACATTTCTAAATCTTAGCATTAGAACAACAGTATCATTGTCTCAAGTCCACATGTTAAACCTGGTATACCTTCAACAAAATTTTACAAACAGAGCTCACAAATTGAGGATTATATATTAAATAATAGTTAACCACAAAATAGAAGGCTGCCCTCAATGCCATTTATCAACCAGTATTTCCTGATGTTTGCACTTTTCAAAGAAAATCTTAAGAATCTGTTAACACGAGAGGTATAAAAATGAAAGAGAACTTAAATACCAGCAAAAGTTAAGAATTTAAACAATTATACTCCAGATATGGGATACATGCTAAAGGCCTAAAAGAAATGAAGACACAAAAAGAACCCCCAAATAATGAGTTAATTTACATCTGACCTTGTTCCCCTTCCCTACAAAAAGATGAGTGGACAATATATACCAAAAAATTTAAAAATCAAATGTGAAATAAATGGGTACAGATCAAGTGAGAATAAACTAGCCTGCAACTCAATACTGAAAATATTCTTTTCCTGCAGGTTACTGGTGTTAGAGTTACCAATGTGATGAATTAAGAGGAAATTCAATCATTAATGAGACTTAGGAAAAATCCAAATACTTTAATTTTAAACAAAGTCATTCTCTATAAATGAGGTAATTTAGCATTAGCATTGAATTAGGGGTATCTTTTAAGATTATCTAACTAGAGTTGTGAGTGTTACCCAAGAAATTTGAACATGTGAATGGAGCTGGTATAAATACTTGCAGGCTTAGAGTCCACTGAAGTTCTGTGTAATATGTAAAAATTTAATTTCCCCAAGCCAACTTCCTTCTTTATTTCTCACCTATTACAGGACTTCTGTAAAATCCAATGTGCCACTCTCAGCACAGTGGTTTTGATCATGGCACTTTCTCATTAAATATACCTATTCACTTGCATGATTATAAATAATTGGTTTCCCAGCAGCAAAATTCCTCTCACCTGTCTTTGATGATCCAGATCTGCTTTATTACCAATTAAAATCATTGGAAACTCATCACGATCCTTTACTCTGAGAATCTGTCTTTGAAACTTATAGATTTCTTCAAAACTAAAAACACAAAAACAAATTAATCAATTTGGTTAAGTATCAGAATTCAGCAAGCCCCATGCCCCCTTTAGTACTTTATTACTTTTCCTTTTTCTATAAAAACAAGAAAATCCAAATTCAATAAAACAGTGATCTAGACATGAACAGGAGATCTACAATTGAATATTGGTACAAACCTGCCTCTATCTGTGACTGAAAAGACCAACAGGAAACCTTCTCCAGTTCTCATATACTGTTCTCTCATAGCTCCAAACTCTTCTTGTCCTGCTGTATCCAGAACTAAAGAAAAAACAAGAAATGTAACTGTGTTCATGCTTTCATTTTATAAAACTGCTTCCCTCACAAAGATAGGCCCAGTTAATGAGGGTCCTCTGGAGAACATCATACTTAGTGTAACATTTTAAAAGGCATTCTCCTCTTATACTTCATTCCCAATGCTAAAGACAAATATATTCTAATGGCAGACAGTTTCAGAGTTATCTTCATCAGTGCAGATTGATTTTGTAGTTAGAATATATTAGCATGCCAATTACAAGGTTAAAAATATCAAATACATCTAGGCAGACAGAGTCAGATAACTTCTGAAGTCACCTGAAGTTTACCTCCTCCATGGAAAGAATGGAAAAAGATATCTGCAAATTCAAGAAAGAAACTTTGGTCCACTCAACCCCCAAATACCATATTGAATGTGCAGGTGCTAATGTATTTCTTAATCTCTGTGAATGAAAGAATCATACAAGTTAAAAGAACAGGGCTTTCTTTTGTGGAGAGGTGGAATGCTTAGCTAAGCACAAAACACTATTTGCTAACGCCTCTGTGCTATAAATTCTAAGCAAGTTAGCAAATATTGAAGTCTTTCTATATTTACTTCACCCATTTTAACCTTCATCAAAAGGTAGGAAAAGCTAAAACCTCATGTTTTTCCAAATGACCCAACAAACACAACTTCAGCAAGTTAGTGACATGATTAGTTTCACCAGAACAAGATCAATCCAATTACTGTCTTACATTCAGTGAGGAATATGTAAGTTGCCTAATATGTAGATTCATCAATCAAAACTAAAAAAAATCAACTAACATTTCAATTGTAGTATTTAACCAAGCAAAATATCAAAGCTTATTTTTAAAAATATGATATGTGAACTATCAAGAAAGGGAAGATTACTTACTATCTAGCCGGGCTGCCCGGTCATCAATCACGCACTGCTTTGTGTAGGAGTCCTCAATGGTTGGATCATAATCCGTTACAAAATAGGACTGTAAGAACAATAACCTTATTTTAAAATTTATGTTTTCTCGTCCAAGTACCACCGTAATTTTATCAAATCTCACTTATCCAGAATTAATCAAAATATTTTCATTGTATTAAGGTTTATCCTACTATGTCAATTCCTTATGAAATGAAGTCTATTCAGAGCAGCTTCCAAGCGGAGAAAGGGCATTAAATAGCTTTGAATTTTCGTATCTGAAATATGCAAGAAGACTGCAAAAGATCTACTGCAGTTTTTTTTTTTCCATAATTACCTTCAATATACCTAAGACTCTAGACCTCAAGTTCTAGAAAAACCAAGAAAACAGAGTAAGCTGTAATTCAGCTCTATTTGCAACCTGAGGGCAAACATCAGTCCTTAGAACCAAGCAGTTTGAAACAAATGAGAAAAGAGTAAGTCTGGACAACTGGAAGCTCCACCCTCTTTTCTCCCCTTCTCTCATATCTTGTCTTATCCCCTTTCAGCTGCCTTGTGTATTATCCTTAAGGAAATATGATTTCAGGATCTTTTTCATCTGCATGGATCTCAAACTTTCTTTCATTGATATTTTTGTTGTTTTTTTTTCTTAACATCTATTTCTTCTTCTGTTAGCAAAATCTTCTAACTAATATCTTATGAAATCATCACCAGAAGGACAGTTAAGGAAACAGTAAGAAGGGAAGAGTCTTAGCAAACCACTTCTGTGTTTGTATATTACATTTCACAATCTTTTAAAAAGGTTTTAAAAAGAAAACAGAAACAAGAATCTGAAAGAGAATTTAGTGCCCCCTTACAGAATGGCACTAACCAGGACGCTGACATCCTTCTTTTGTTCTGAATATCTCCTTCACTCTCCCTCTTGACCGACTCCCTCAAAGCCTGCTTTGCCACTAGCTCATTACAAAATCTGAGGGATGACTTGGAGGAAGGCAGCTGGACTTGCTGGCTCCAGGGACACATTCTTAAGTGACAAAGCCTGCATGGTGGCCTATGCAAACACCAGAAAGCTACTCAGAAGGTAGGCACTCTGAACAAGGCAGTAAAGAAACCTCTGGTAGGGAGCAGGGGAGACACTGATCTGCCTGCTATCTTGAACTTACATATTTATTTTTGAAAGATATTTTCTACTTTATAAAATGTGATATAAAAGGCTTTACTGTAACAGAATTCAGTATCCATAATCCTATTTCCTTTCTGATGATTTCATATAAATGCATGATTTATTAAACAAAGTGTATAAAAGAAACATTTACCAACAGGGGCAGCTTTGAGTAGAAAGCCATCTCTGTCACCACCCCACCCTATTTAAAAATAAACATATCAAAACAATCCTGAACTGACTTTCTGGCACTCGCACCTCTTCAAAAAGTAAATACAACTGGCAACAATATTCTTTGTATCCTCTAAACATAAAACTGCAGTCTTTCACCAAGCAAGTTGGATAAGGCATGCTGTTTATATCTGAAGATTAGTTTCCTGTTACATGTTTCTCCACAGCAATCTGATACTTTTTGCCATGCTTTCATCTTGTAAAATCTAAATTTCATTGGCTGCTCCCAGTTTATGCCTAAATGTGTTAAAATGTGCAGCACTGTCCTATTTTATCTGAAAACACAATGGACAAATATTAAATATATTTTTTCAAATGTCTAAGTCATGCACAATAGCTCATATTCTTTCAATGCAATGTTTTGTTTTTTTGCATAGTGATACCAAAGTAAGAAAACAACATGTATAGAAGATTGTTGGTTTAAGCAACTTTGAGCGCTATTAAAATAAACTTTTTTGTGACTGTGGAAGTTTCATATTTTCTTTGGATGTCTTAGCTCTTGAAACACACTCTTAATGTTACAAGAATTTTGCCACTTTGCTAACTAACGCTGACATGCATTTATCCCACTCGTTAATTTTTAAGACAAATTGTTGGAATTTCTGGATACGTAGTTTCATGTTTCATCTTTTTGTGTCCTGATTTCAAAATTTGTAGATACCTTGCTACATGCACATTTTACGGAGCCATCTTCATTGAAAGCATCATCCTCCCTCATAAAGATCCTCCTTAAGGAACATCATAGGGCCTGACTCACAGAATCAAAGATCCCTTTTCCTCTCATAAATTCTAGTAAGCCACAGGTTGCAACACACTTAAAAAGAGCATTCAAACAAACAAAAGAGCATTCATTGTGTACAGGTAACGCAGATAATCATCACCTCCCACCACAAAGACTTAAGATTGCTGTTACTTAAAGTTGGGTCCCAGATATTTCAGGCAGCAGGTCAACAACAAGAAATCAGTCTCTGGTGATGGACAGCCCTGGATTTACTCTAATTCTGCTATTTTCTAGTTGTGGAACCTGAGGCAAAATATTTTAACTAAACTTTAGCATCTGTAAAATAAAGACAGTAACAAAACCTTGCAGAACAGATAAAAAGAAGTAATGTATATAAAGTGCCAAGACATGTTCATGGGTAATAAACGCTACCCATCAGAGTCAGTGTATCATTTTTGTCACCCAGTTAGATGATATGAAATAGCATTTTTATTCGGGTAAAAAGACTTGCTAAAACAAGGAACAAGTGTTGTAATGCCAGTCCTAATTAAACCACAGACCAACCATGGGACTTGGTATCCAAAGTGTTGTAAATCAAGATAAAAGCTCCCCATCTGGGGTTCTGAAAGTATTTTCTGGGTCTAAGCAGTAATTACACAAGGACATACACATGTAAAAACTCAAGCTGTACATTTAAGATGCGTGCATTTTTCATATATGTACAAATTATACCTCTATAAAATACATAAACAGTTCCCTGCTGCTTATAGGATTCAGCACTTTCTTTACACCGTATGCAAAATATAGGATTCAGCACTTTCTTTACACTGTACGCAAAATCCTCCAGTTTGATGTGTGCTGTTTGCCATTCAAAGTCTTACTTTTCACTACTTGAAACCCTTCAGCCAATTGCTCTTGCTCTTTTGGTTTCATTCATTTGTCCGATAATTATTTATGGAGCATCAGAGGGACGAGGTCCCTACTTTCACAGAACCCATTGCTTTTTACACAATATCCAGTAATTGTTCTGTGATTGAGAGCAAAGGGGATGAGGAGTGTTAACCATATTGGCCAAAGAACAGAAATGGTAGAGAAATGCCAATACTCTGCTTGTTCAGAAGGCAACACAATTTAAGCAGTTAACATTGCAGTCATACATAGGAACTACATGTACATTCACTTATAAACATAGAGCCCCAGCAATTTGCCTGAAGGGAAAACAGTCTCCTGAAGTTGAAAAAAGTTACCAACCATAAACCAGAAAGGATATTCTGTAGCAGAAATTAAGGGAAAAGAAGGGGAGAGGAGTGGAAACAAGCACAGTATCGCACTGTGGAACAGTAGAGGCTCTCACAAGAGCAGGAAAGGAAAGTGCCCTTGCCCAGAGTTCAGTCCACTGAAAGGGGAAGTGGGGACTGGGAGTGGAGAAAGCAATGTGCTTTCTGGAAATCATAGGAAAGGATGCATAGAGAAGGATCCTAACCAAAAGAAAGGGGATGTCTCCTTTCAAAGGGCAGGTAGTAAGAACGACAAGTAGACCTTAGTCTCATTAAGGTTGTCAGGCATTACCTAGAAAGGTTTAAGATTAGGGAAGCTAACCTAATTCAGACAGGGACATCCCCCTGACAAAATCTGGTCTGAGTAAGGTTGTCTAAAACCCTTAATAACACAATAGTGATAGCTGGGAATATTATTGCTGTGTCAATGCCACTAGGCTGCACAATAGGAGCTCTGCTTGGCTTCAGAGAATTGCTACTTCACTCCCTCCCATTCAAAGAAGCTGCCTTAGAGAAGATAAGGAGGGGCCGGGGAGGAAAGAGAATGAGCTGATGCAATTTCTGCATTCAGTGGGCAGAAGTGACAACCCACTCTCTGGACACCAAGCTGCTGGTGAAAGTGTAGTTCCCAAGCTCTGCCACAGAGCGGTGCCTGGTCTACACACTGGGATGGGTAATTTATTGGAGATTCTGGGAACTCAGGAAATTCAGCAAACTGGTTAAAGTCCACTACCCTTGCATATAAAAAGGACAGGAGGCTAGACCTAAGGTGCCCCTGGGGAGTTGTAAACAAATGACGGGGCATTTCTGAGCACAGCACATTCTCAGGAATCCACTAAAAACAAAAGGTGCAGAAAGAGGAGGGGAAAGGCAGCAAGGAGGGGAAGGAAATAGACAATGTGGGAAGACCTTGACAACCACTGAATCTAGGTAATGTGTAATAAATGTATGTTATACCAGTCTCTACTTTTGCATGAGGTAGCACATTGAAGTACTACAGGAAGGATCAAACCAAGGGAAGAAGATTTCACCTTGAGCTTTCACCTCACTCTACTCAAAACCAACTCACCTAGAAACCGAAGTTTTTTCTTGGTCAGAATATCTTGCAGTTTTCTTTATATTTTACTTTACTTTTATTGTCCATCCCCCCCCAACCCCCACTGAATATGAGCTCCATGAGGACAAAGATTTTTGTCAGAGGTAGAGTGGCTTATCTTATGCTTAAACAGCAAACCACTGGCATATCCAGCACTGAAATCAGTTTCCGGGCTCTGCTTTGCTCACTAACTCTCTGGAAGTAAAGCACACTCACACTCATGCTCCATTTCTGCTTCCATTGCTTCCATTTTTCAAAAAGCGAACTATCCTCAATCATAGTAACAGCAGCCGTCATTTACTGAGCACTTACTGTGTGACAAGCAGCTGACTGACACATATAAAATTTTCGCAATTAATTTTCACAATGATCCTTTAGATACCTATCTCCCTCTTACAGATTTTTTTTTAAGTGAGGCACAGAATTACGTTACTCTTCTAGGTCACCTAGCCAATAAAGTAGGATAACTACAATTTAAATTCAGTCTTGTCCTAATGAATGTTCTAGAATTCTTGCTATTTAATATACAATTTATAAAAAATTTCAAATCTTTCATCCCTTTACTGGTCTACAAAATGAGGAG